TAATGTTCTAAAACACAATAACACTCAAAATATTACAGTTAAGTTATGAAATAAAGAATTCTTAACAGTTATTTAACTCTTTCTTTAAAAAAAGAATCTCTTCCTACCTCTTCAAATATTAGTTAAAATTCCAGGAAAAAAACTGATATGCTAGGACATTCTTAGCTCAAATTTAAAAGCTGTCCATATGTCATTTTCAATGGATTTTTGGCCATAAAAAATTAACTTGCTTTGATTTTTAACTTTAATTTAAATCCTAGAAAGCAGTATTTTCTTTATTCTCTAGAAAACCTAGTACATGGATGATGCTGAAGGGGAGCAGAATTTGTCACCCCAAAATATAGCACTTGGGCATGAGGATTATTTTGAGTGAAAGACAATCAAAACCAGCACATTCAGGAAAAGCTCTTTACTTTTCCTTGGTACCTAAATTTACATTGGAAAGGGAGCCTATGTTAGGAAGACAGCTATTATCAGAGATACCTTTTACCTAAGGAATGTATCTGCTTACCACGGCAGCATTTGTTTTCTAACTATCTACTCTGCCTTCCTATGAGTGGCCCTCCTCCTCTTTGTATCCCTAGACCCCTGTATCCCTCTCTTCAGCCCAGGATGTTATTATATATCTGGCTGCCTTTTGAGTCTTCCTATCTTTTTGGGGCTCCCGTGAGTATGTAATTTTGTTTTCCTCCTGTTCATCTGTCTTATGTCAATTTAATGATTAGACCAGCCAAAGGACCTACAAGGGAAGAAGGGAAAATTTTCCACCTCCACAGTACTTATTTAAATATCCACTAATATAATTGTCTTCATAAATTAAAAAAAAGAGTATAAAATTACTTTCTAAATTGAGAGGCACATTCATCTAGTTACCCAGATATTGATGTTTGTTCAAAGATTGATTTACCTACAGACAGGAGTATTTTTAAAACACAGTTTAAGAGGCCAGAGACAAATAGCTCTGAAATGGAATTTTGTTACTCACAAATTGCTTTGAGTCTGGTGGGATTTTCAGATTCTGACCATAACTAGATTTGGTTCTATGTAAATTTGCTGTTAAAAGGCTTCACTATGTATAAGCCTATAGACATTTACTCATCCACCCATTACATGTCATTCTGCCTGGTGAGAACTGGAGAAAAGTAGTCTATTTATTAAATTGCCCATGGGAAGGAGTAGGTCCAGTAAAAATGGTTTTGCTAAGTATTTGCTGTTTATTTGCCAGGATAATAGTGATGTTAAACTTAGGAGATGTGTGCATATGCATGTTAAAATTAAATTTGGTAATTAGGTTGTTTCACACAATGACCATTCAATTTATTTAGACTCCAGTACATCTTAGGCAACTTGCCAAAAGTCAGAAAGGAAATAAAGATGAATAAGATAGTTCCCATCCCACATTGTGATTGGTGAAACCAATACTCAAAGAAATAATTATGATATATCATGCTGTCTTATGGAATGTCCAGAATGTAACATAATACAACATACCATAGCATAGTAGAATGCTTCAAATTCAAGTTCCATGTCAAATGAACTCTTGGAAACTATGTATACTTCTAAATCATGCAGAAAACTTTAAAAGTTAAAAAAAATATTGTTAAATGAAATCAGCCAACTCGAAATATTTTATTTTTCACATTTCTTGCTTTAAACAAACTATATTGTTTCTTTCTAGCTTTCTGATCATCTGAATTTTAGATCATATAAAAGCTTTCTAGAATATTTTTCAGAGAACAGGGAAGAGAGAATTTTCATCTGGGCTTTGAGTAAATGAGGATTTTCTGAGCAGAAAAGAGGCAGAAGAAACTGCAATCATAGGGACCTACATGTGCAAAGGCAGAGAGGTGTGGTCTGTTGTGACGGGCCTGGAAAGTACTGGTCTGCTTGTTTGGAGCCAGAGCCGAGCTGTTTAGAGTCTAACAAATATCCTCAGGCAGTGGGGAAATAGCAGAGGGTTTTTGTTTTCTTTTCTTTTTAAAATTTTTATTTGTAAATAGTTTCTAATTTACAGAAATGTTGCAAGTATAAACAGCATAAGAAACACTGGTGTATATGTATCCTTTACCCAGATTTACTTACTAATATTTGGTCCCATTTGCTTTTTCAGTTGATCTCTCACTCTCCTTTTCATTATGCATGCCTATATGTGTGCACATATAATATATTTTTCTGTACCATTTGAGAGTAAGTTCAATTATGACCTTCTTCTCCAAAATACCTCTGGGTATTTTCCTAAAAATAGAGATATTCTCTTCATAACTGTAGAACAGTTACCAACTTTAAATTTAACCCTGATATAGTACTTTTAGTCTAACCTGGAATTCATATGCCAATTTTGTTGATTGAGCAGGAACATCTTTTATAGCATTTTCCTCCTTCCAGAACAGCATGCTAAGATAAGATAAATAATAAGCTTAGAATGCTAAGATAAAGTATTTGATTTAGTTGTGTCCTATTACTCTTTTAGTCTAGAACATTTCTACAGCCTTTCTTTGGCTTTTATGACATTGATATTCTTTGATAAAAATAGTCCCCCACCTTTTTAATAGAGTAGTGTTTTATATAAGGGGTGACATAACCAGATCTAGGTTTTAGAAAAAGTTATCCTAGAAGCAATGTTAAGGATGGACTGAAGATGAGATATTATTGCTACAGCCATGGTCTAGGAGGCTGCTATTGGCTAATACTCCCTTCTGGGCAGGCAAGGACACAGGCATAGGAAAGGAAGGAAAGGGATCCCAAGTCTAAGTCCTGGGTAAAGTTATTTCTAGAACAGTCTAGAATGCCAAGTGCATGAGGCTTGATGGAGACACAACACCCAGATCTAAAACTGTGGCCTTGAATTTCACATTGTAGCATAAAACAGATCAGATAACATGAAGATCCTTCCGAAAAATAGCATTAAATGCATAGTTGAGCTTAACATAATGGAAAGTAAACCCCCAAGAACTAAAAATTAAGAGGAAAGAAAAAACAAAAAGCTAGGCATGAACTGATATTCAAGCAAATGTCAGGCAAGTTTTCTGGTCTTAATATGATCTATGAAACCCCACATGGATGCAGGAAATTAGGCCTGGAGTGCCAGGTAAGTAGTGAGTGAGAACTGAGACCCTTGAATAAGCCAGGATCACTGAAGGATATACCCTCCATAAAAGAAAAGAAAAGAAAACAAAACAAAACAAATGTATATTCACCAGAGTTTTGAGATGTTGGAGAAAGCTGTAAATAGGTGAAACTTTAGTTGGTCCTTGAAAAATGGGCATCTTTGGTTAAAAAAGGAGGAAAACATTTTGGTTTAAGGAATTAACAATTAAAAGTTTAGATGTATATGTATATCTACTAAATAAATTGTTCATCTACTTTTTACATTAAAGGGGCTTTTATGCTGTAAGTAATCTTTGGAATTTGCTTTTTCACCCAACATTGTGTTAAGATTCATTCATATTATTGTATGTAGCTGGAGTCCATTTTTACTGCTTTATAATATCCCATATGTGACTATGCCACACTTTATTTTCCTGTCAGTGATCATTTATGTCATTTCCAAATAGTTTAGCCTATTTGGAATAGTGCTACTATGAATATTTTTGTACATGTCTCCTGGTGTACATTGCAAGGACCTGTATTGGGTGTATGTATATACTTATATTGATTTAAAAGTCTTTCTGTGAAGCATAGCACCTTAGAATGGCATTAGGTGAATTTTTTGAGTGTAGAAATTCAAGTCTAGAATAATCAACACCCTTACCTAAGATGAATAGATTCAGATACCACCCTAGGAACGTTGCATAGTGTCTACTCAAGATAAGGAGTATTTGCCAAGTGTTTTGTTGGGAAGCAAAATTATAAGCTGTAGTTGCATAAAATGAGGACCATACCAAGGATCAGTGAATCAGCAGTGTGAAGGGGGCCTTACTATTTTACAGTGGGGTCTCCTTTGACAGGACCTCAGAGAAGAATCATGTGAGCTCTAAGTTCTAGTCATTTGCTGTACTCCCATTCTGCTTTTCTTCATGGAAAATCAGTTTTGAGAAAAAGTTAAATAGTATACAAATGCTATGGGTTTAGATAAAGCCCAGTGCCAATGCATTACCAGTCATTCCACGCACACATGAACCGTGCATAAGGAAAGCATTGTTTTGGAGTTGCAATGTGCATTCCACAAGGAGATATTTAAATCAAGATAGAAATAGCAGAGGTTTTGTCCTTGTTTGGACAGCACTTCAGGACATAACCAAGAACTGCAGCTCTTTTTCCTCAAAATGTCACATGAGGATGGATTTCCCAATTTGTTTAACCTCCCCATCAGAAAGGGCTGGGTCTCAGTTGTGTCCAGTTAAGGTCTGTGCTTACAAGTACATTCCTGTAGAGTCGATATTATTTGGAAATTCTTTATATAATCCCTATTCTGCATTTACCTAAACATAATGCTAATATTTCAGGTTTCTAGTCTCAGCCTTATAAAACATTGCATGTTTACCCACCTTTAGGTTCCTATAACAAAATATTAAAATTGTACTGTAAATATGTAGAAACTAGAAAAAGTGAATTCCATTGGTAAAAAGAGCATTAACTAGAGCATTCTGATTCTCATTGAGAATTAGTGCAGCAATTTTTCTGTAGATAAAAGAACCTCTTATCTCATGAAGAGCTGCATTAATTACCGCCTGAAATTCTGCTTCACACGGTCTCTTCAGGAGCCAAGGAGAGAGCAGAAAAAATGTGTGCTGTTGGAGGTCTGTACTCCCCATTTTCTTTTTCTTCTTGAAAAACAGCTTTTCTGAAAGGTAAATAGTATACAAATGCCGTGAGTTTAGGTGGAACACAGTGCCAAGGGAATACTAATTATTCCAACAATAGCAGGAGCTATAACTTTGAAAGCAAAAAACAAATTTCAGTGTTATGAGTAACTTTGCTGATCATAATAAAGGACGATGAAATTTAATGTCAATAGCACTACAAGTGTAGGAGGTAATTCTATTTCATTTTCTTTTCAGACGAAACAGAAACGGAACATGGTGATACAAGCAGATGAAAAAAACCCAGGTAATAATAAGTATAGAAATAAGTACGATCTATGTTGAGGCCAAAAGCTTTGGTTTTAGAGCTATAAAAGGCAGTTTTTGCTATCTAGAATCTATATTAAGACCAATATTCCTCCTTATTTCCCCTCATTACCCTTACCAGGTAATGGTAGCCAACCGATAAATGGATACATAGGACAAAAGTGACAATAATCTATTGAGTAGACATTCACTATGACAGTAATACTGTTGTTCATGCTAAATTTTTCAGTACTTGCTCCCTGTTTTCTTTGCACATCTTCATGAACTTTGTTTCCTTTCCTGTTTAGCACCAACCCTTGCCCAAGCTTTGTCCAGTGGTTGGTTTCTCCCAAACTTGGCGTGCATGCAAGCCTTCCATATAGTGGTGCTGCCTAATGCTCAGAGTTGAGGATAAATCCTCTCCTCATTTATTTAGGCACCTGTAAAGAAATCCAGGACATCCTTATGCACTATTACTAGAGGCCATGTTCTCCACTCCACATTCAAGAAAAGAATCTGGTCAAATGGAATACTTAGAAGATACTAAAAATTAAAAGTAGCAGTAGACAAACCTAATTCTACCAGTGAAAACCCAAATAACAATCTATTACTCTTCTGTAAGAGTTCTGAGATAAACAAGTTGCATCTTTTAATTGAACCCAGTAAATGGAATTGAGATTCATCAAAGTAAAGCCAGTTGCCCTGTGATGCTCAGAATGGGTTCACATTTGCAAATGGTGTTGCCTGATGTGGCAGAAAAGGCAAAACAAATGTAGGTTTGAATTTCAGATCTGCTATTGACTGACCTTGGTCAAGTACCCTTCTGATTCTCAATTGTTCCACACAGCGGGGAAAATGATACCAAGTTAGAGATACTGTGCAAAATGTATGAAACAGTGCCTGGCACAGAGACTCAGAAGTTGCTTTTGTTATTGTTATTAATGATCTGGCACACTACTTTTCCATCAAATACCTCTAATATTATAATGAATATAAAGACCCTATTGAATTTGAAATAAATAAAAGCATAAAATGCCTTAAATTCAGAGATCACTTTTGTTCTAATGTATTCAAACCCCATTTCTACTCCTCAGACTGGTTCTGTAAAGGGAAAGGACTCCTGTCATGGGCAACATGAGGGCACCCCCATAGAGGAGCAGGGGTGGGGGGAGCCATCATCGCCAGGCTGCAATCTGACCCTGCTGCCGTCACTGGCAGGTCCGGGCTAAGTGAAAGGACAAAATGTCACTGCAAGGAAGGTGGACAAAAGGAAACAAGAAATGAACTCTTCAGTATCTTAGGCCACCAGGGATGTCTCAAATGATTCCACCCATTATACAAAATACAAATCAAGTCACCTGAAAAAAAGTAAAGAATTTTGGAAAACGAGCCATTTACACAGAAGCTAGGAATTGAGACAAAATCTGGATTCCTCTCAAAAATCATTTAAAAAAATTTTGTCCAGACTTAGACCAGTCATTGCTTCCATTCTCAGCTTTTCTCGAGTTGTAGGAACAGAGCCAAACTTAATTCCTTCAGGTTTCTTGTTGGCTGCAAAATGATGTGAGGCCCTTCATCTCCTCCCTGGTGTTGTCATCCTTCCTCTTCACGATTGCCTCAGCCACCACCTGCCTCTTGCCAATGCTTTGCCTACTCTTTTCTTCTCCGTCCCTCCTTCCCATGTGGCCACTTGGCGGACTTGCCAGCAGTGGGCTGGCCGGGAAAGTGGCCGTCCTGTGACCCAACCCCAGGGGCCGTGAAGCCACTCCTGGGTTTTCCGTGATGCACCTGCTACAGTCACTTGGCACCAAGTAAACAAACGGTCCAATCTTTTCCAAAAGTGGTTTTGACAAAGAACAGTTTAAAACCCCAAAGATGTTGACAAATGGGTTGTTAATCTAGGAGAGTGAGTAAAGCAACCCATTTGAATGACAGGAACAGATAAGGCCCTCCTCTCTGTCCCCTTGCCTTTTTAAATTGATATTCCTGTGGAGGGAGACAAAGGGAAAGAAGTAAAGGAAAGAAAGTCAGATCTTTAGCACTGGCTGTCCAGGGGTTGATTAGGATGCTGATCTGCGTGGCAGGTTTCTAGGTTCTTACCCAACTTCTTGGCTGCTGGTCAAAGGCTTTAACAGTGCACTTTGTAAATAGTGGTGTATAAAGCTGGTCTAAAAATAGTACATTTCCAGGGTCTGAATTGGGTGAGCGGCATGAGTGGCAATGGCTGTATTGTATAGGACAGATTACAAGCGAGTTACTCAATGGTACTTGATATGCAGGGTTATTCACATGCTTCATCTGGTTTGGTTAAATAATGCAAACACATTTACCAATGTGCAGGATTGTTTTATTTGTGCTCAGGAGAACTGTGCATGTTTATGATGGACAAATGTACGTGTTCTATTTTCTGACAATCAAACAAAGCTCTCCCCTATGAGGTAAATAGCCGAATTAAATAGTGGAGCCGACACTCTCGAGAATTGCTGATGTGACTCTATGGTGGCTGTTAATGACAGGTTTCCTGCTGTGCTGGCTTCCCTAAAGGATTTTTGCTGAGGGTGGGAACCAACAGGAGGCTCTGACAACTAGTGGCCCTGCCAGGTATGGCTCGGCTATCTCCTGAAACCAGGGATGTGAAAGCTAGGGCCTCACTAGGAATTTTTCACCATGAGAGCAACTGTACTTTTCTTCCTCCCCTCACCTGTGCCTGAGCTGGGGACAGTGAGGGTGATGTGCTCCTCCCTAGCCTAGAACAACCCCTGCAGAAGCCAGGGTCACAGGAAAAGCAGGCTTAGGGAGAGGCCCAAAGGAACTTCAAATGAGAACTGTAATTTGGGGACCAGAGATGCTGGGAAAGATGCTTGCAGTCTTTTGAAAGCAAAAGCCACCCCCTCACCCTCCCTAATGGTTTCGACTGTAAGTGGTAATTGTTCCTACAGATTTTGAGGGGAGCAATTTTTTTATACTGAAATGCACCGTGATTATTTATGACATAAATAATTGTCTTTCAGGCAGTTTGGAGACTATCGTATCTAATGCAGTGCAGAACCTCTTGGGTGAAGTCCTCAATCATTCTGCCAGTTCGATTTCCCCATAGAAGATGGAAGCGAGAACAGGGACAGCTCTTGAAGGAGTTGCATTAGGGAAATACAATTTAGAGGACAGAAACCCCTGTGCTGTCACTTAGGCAAACATTTCTCCTACCCAGATTTCATGCCTTTAACTTGGTACAGTCTTGGGCAAATTGGGTCTGACACTCTCCAGGAATATATATTACTGGCATTCCTCTCTCCCCACTGCTTATGCTGCACAATTTGGGGAAAGTTACATAAACTCTGACTCCCCAGTTTCCTCATCTGTAAAAACATGAGACTAGTATACACGTCATGAAGTACAGCATTGTGAGGATTAGAGGATTATGTTAAGTAATGTGAGCAAAGCATTTGGCCCATGGTAATAAATGAAACCATGCTCATCACAACAGGAGGCAAGCAGGCAGCATTCCTGTGCATAGCCTTGCACCAGCCTCATAGCATCATAGTCTCCCTCACAACCATCCAGATATCTGGAGCACACAGATGCTCAGAAAGCATTACATCAGCATTTCCATTACCTGTCATTTCCCTTTTTATCACCAACTACATGATAATGGGGGTTAATTTCACTTTGCAGCTAGCTGTATTGGGAAATAACATAAACCGTTATTTTGGCCATTTGGAAATTCCCTCCATCTGGCTTGTATTTCTTATGCTGAGGAGTATGATTTTTTCAATAAGGTAGATATTTGCTTACATTCCTAAAGAGTCAGGAAAACAACATAAATTTTAGCTCTTGTTTGGGACTGAATTTTTCAGTTGAATGAGAGAATATAGCTGGATAACCTATATATAGGCATCCCCTCAGGCATGAACAAAGTGAGATGTAGTTATGGAGAAGTGAAGAGCCAAATAACTTCCTAAAAGTTATGGTCACTGCAAAAACATTAACCCACCATGTCTATGAAGTTAAGAAGGGCATATGAGGTTGCTGTAAATGGAAAAATCAAACTGTGCAAAACGAAATATAGGTGTACCCCACTAGTAACCATTGTCAAGATTTGGTTTCAGTATCTGTGCAACAGCTGCCTAAAGTTATTCCAGAAAGAGGGAACATTGTTACTACTGCAACTCTTAGTGATCATCGCCCAAAATTAATGTCCCTAGGAACAAAATTTGCTCAGCCAAATATATGAAAATATTGAAACTGACCCCTTTACCAAATATTCACATCACTATACTTAAAAATCATATCAAAGAGACAGAGTTTTGAAAATTGTCCAAGTTTCTGTGGCCAAACTAAATGAATTACTTTGCTTTCTCTTCAGAGGGGGCACAATTTCACCTCTAAGGGCTTCTATTCTCAAAGGGCTAGAATGTACAAACACACAGCAACTAGAAGAAAGACACTTTCTATTTCAGTTCATTTGAGATTTGTTTTGGGTGTTTTTTGTTTTATTGTAAGCCTATCTAGTAATATGCTGACCATGTTCTAAGCTTTGAGAGGGGATAAAAGCTGTACTATACCTGTGCTCGTGGGTCTTGGTGGAGAAGAAATGACTTTCATCTAAAGACCACTCAAGACAGTGTCCCTAAATGCCCAATTACATGTAATCAACCACTAAATAACAGCAGAGATCACCACGACTATGGGCAGTGGACATCAGGGTAGGACAGTGTGGCAGAGAAGTGGTATTTAGTAAAGGTAGGTGAGAGTGGCTGGTATGAGCTGAATTGTGTTCACCCCCAAATTCATATGTTGAAATTCTAACCTCTGGTACCTCAAAATGTGACTGTATTTGGAAATAGGGTCTTAAAAGGGATGATTAAGTTTAAATAAGGTCATTAGGGTGCACCCTAATCCAATGAGTGGGGTCCTTCTAAGAAGAGGGGAATGGGACACACACACACAGAGGAAAGAGCACGCGAGGACACAGGGAGAAGACGGCCGCCTACAAGCCCAGGAGAGAGGCCTCCCAGGAGACCGACCCTGCTGACACAGTGACCTCACACTTTCAAGTTACTAGAATTGTGAGAAAATGAATTTCTGCTGTGTAAGCTACCCAGGCTGTGGCACTTCGTTAAGGAGCCCAAGTAGACTAGTGCAATGGCCTTGAAGGAAGAGTGAAGCATTTTAAGAAGACAAAAGGGGGCAAATGGGTGCTATGCTTCTCTCTCTTGTTCTTTTAAATATCTAATTCTCATTTACATTTTATTTTCCTTGTGTACATCCTTGGTTCTATTACTAGGTAAAGGGGGTTAGGAGACTGTGGGGAGAAGGGAGATGGGAAAGGAATTAGGGAAAAGGAGACCTGGAGGCAGAGGAAAGAAAGAGATGATCTCACACCACCATGCTAGTGTTTTATCAGAAATCAACAGACAACAAAAAGCAACAAAGCAGGAACTATAAAAGCAGTGAGCAGTTGTAAAACTAAAGGATGGCCTTAAGAACAAGGAACTATAGGCTGTTTAACAAGATTATCAAAAATCTGAAATTTATCTGCACTCGCTATGGAAGTCTTTATTGCTCACTTGTGGCCTCTTGATAAGTTCAAACTTTATCTTCTGAAGATAAATTCCAATATTATCATTACAGTTATGACTTACTTGATATTTATAACACCCCAGGGTTGCCTTCCTGCCACATTATTTTTGCACTGTTGAAATGCCTTTTTTTACAATGGATATAAATGATATAAATGTAGTATGGAAGCATTTATATCAATAGCAAAGACATAGCTGGGCTATTTAGTCAGATAGGACTTGTCACTCAAGTGATTCTTATTACCCATTAAATATTTTCCAGTGATTCAGGGGTTTCCAATTGGTTGAGAAACATAGTGGGGGGGGGGGGGGAAATGCCAATAGAAGAAGATAAAATACTGCCTCAGATTTAAATTACTAATCTAGATAAACCCTGAAACTTGTTTAATATATTTTACCATCCAGACCAAACTTGTTCTCAGTGGTGATGTAAACAAATTTGTGCTTAAGTGATCACATGTACATTGTTGTTTCTTAAGGAAATAACAACTGATGTTTGGTCTAACCTCCTGTGAGCATTTCAGTCTTAACAGTGAATTTAGAGAAATACATTTCTTTCATTACAATGTTGCAAGTTGTGTTCAGGGAGGGCAGAAAATACAATTAGTAAAAAAGATTTGTATAGTCTGACTTAAACTACTGGGGAAAGATTTGGTGTGGGAAACATTTCTCCCTTAAGAGAAGTCGTTTCTGTTCCTGCTAAATCCCAAAGGCCTGGGTGCTTTCAGAGGTCCCTCCGAGGCCAAGGCCTGTGTGCGTCCCACAAATTCCTGCCTTGGGAGTCTGTAGTCTCCGGGTCTTTCCAGTCCCTGCCTCAGCCAGCTAGCTTGGCCTTGCTCACTCAGTGTTGTCACCCCTTGGTCCAGATTCATGTTTTCTATCCACTCTGGGTCTGCATGCTTTGCCCTTCCTCAATCCCTGGGCTGCCTTCGCCCAGTGTCACCTTGATGTGCTTCCTATAGTCAGGGGCCAGTCTTCTCTACTCTAATGCCCAGCCTCACTCCTGAAATCCCATCCTGGACCCTCTGCTATCCCAGGAAAAAAGGTGAATGTGTACAACATCTTGAGTGCCTGCCTTTGTACCTCAGTCAATATCACAATGCTCAGCTTGGTAAACATTTACTACCTGAGAGAAAGAAAAAAAGAAAGGGAAGGAAAAAGGGAAGGGAAAAGGGAAAGAAAAAGGAAAGGAGGGAGGGAGGGAATATTGGTTTTATGCACAATTGCTGTCCTTGAGAATGTGGTCTGCAGTTGTAGGAAAAAGCCAGCTAAATTTCTGTAGCAAGTTTTCTCTTAGTTTAATTTTCAGTGGCCAAACTGAATGAATTCCTTTGCTTTCTCTTCAGAGGGGGCACAATTTCACCTCTAAGAGGCTTCTATTCTCAAAGTGAAATAAAATGCAAATGAGAAACAAAATCAAGTCCAAAGGATTGGATATGTTTTCTGACCTCTGACAGTCAGCAAGGCCCTAAGGCACCGAGACTTGTTGTGCTGTATACGGTCTCCTCTTGTATGACGCTCAGAACCCTCCTTCCACTGGAAAATTGGATGAAGAGGATCAGTCTGTTCTTTCCCAGGAAGAGAGGGTCCTTTATCCTGCCAGTGAAGGCTGTTTTCTTATTTGTTTGGTGATTAAATATTTGGAATCCATCATTTGGGTCCTGCTGGAGAAGTGAGGATGCTGCCACCATGGGGCCAGCTGCCTGTGTTTGGCCAAGGAAGATCTCCGGGGCTCCCGTCTTGCCCAGAACCTTTGATGACCTTGATCTTTGATAAAGAATCTGTTAGTTGTTTAAGATATGGAAATATTTCCTCATCTTCTTAGTGACTTGGATGACCATTAAATCACCTATATTGTGCTCAGAGTTAAAAGAGAAATTAGGATTCTCCTTCCATGAATCCTAAGCCCAAGCGCCGGGGCCAAGCTCTTTGTGCTGGAATTGCCTGCCTTCTGCGGCAGGTCTGGCATTGCTCCACAGAGGTGGTAGCTGGGTTTTTTTCCTTCTGTGTGATGGTTCAGGTGGCCACTGATGGTTGCTGGAATCAGAGTACCCTGGCCAAAGTTTACAAAAAGGGAATAATATTTACAGTTTGGAGATGGTTGTCTATCCCCATCTCCATCTTCAGTTCCCTCTCTCACATGACAAAACTCCATGGCAAAGTGGTGGCTGGTTCAAGGACCTGTCCATGCTCCGCAGATAGCTTGCTTAAGTACTGCAGGGAAAGGGAAAGGAGACTAAGATTAATGTTAGGTTAATTTCACATTAGTACCTGGCACAAAGTAGTCTCTGAATAAATATTAAAAGGATGAATTGAAATAATATATTATAAAATACTGAGTAAAAAAAGGATCTATGAAATATAATACTCAGTGAGAGATAAGAGACAGCAATGGAGATAGAAATGAAAGAGAGAAGAGGGAAAGTTCTTCTGTACAGAGGAATACAGCTAATGAAGTAGAAAGGAAGACAGGATTTTAAAAATCACTATTTTGTAATCCCAATGTAATATTTGGTCCAGGTAAGGATCATCAATAAAGGCTAACGCCATTGGGTGAAGTGTTGTTGGGAAAGAAGTTATTCACAGGTCTCAAAATGTCAATTACCAGATCATGTATTAATTGCCAAGGGGAAAGGATACCTTATCATAACAGAGAAATACAACAACAAATATCTTAACCAGGCTGTTACTCCAAACACCACCAATAATGGGACAGAGGATGGTACGTCCCTCCTCATGTGACTGCAGTCTGAAGTATACAGCATCACCTATTAATATTTTGTCAAAAATATGTAAACAATCTAGTTATGAGGAAACAATCACACAAGTTTAAAATCTTAGACATGCTACAAAATAAATGACCTGGACTTCTCAAAAAACAGTTAATTTCATGAAGGATAAGTAAGTCGGGATATGGTTCTGGATTAAAGAAGCCAAGAATATATGACCAAATCCAATGTGTGAATCTTGAATGGATCCTGAATTTAAAAAAATGATTATAGAGGACATTTTGGGGTTAATTAGGGAATTTAAATACAGAATATAAGTGTAGTAATAGTAATGATTCTGAGGTTATGTAGGAGAACGTTCTTGTCTCAGAAATACATCTTGAAAAATCTAGGTATAAAGTTTCATGATGTCTGCAACTTATTTTCAAATNATGTTAACAATTGTTGAATCTAAGTAAAGAGTATATGCTTACTGTGCTATCCTTTCCACATTTTTGTGGGTTTGAAAATTTTCAAAATAAAATGCAGGGGAAAAAAGAAGAACAAACTGACTTTCAACTTATGAATGAATCAGAAAGCCCAGGTAGTTCTTTTCCTGAAATAGGGGAGAGAAATTAGAAAGTTAGGCAGATGAAATAGGCAGTAGGATCATAGAATATCATAAGTTGAAGGGTTTTTAAAGTCTAATTTTAGACTGCTTCTGTGAAATGATGGCCAGGGTTTTGGTTAAAAAAATTAGGGAAACAATGCATACTCGATCTCCCACTTGCAGAATCACAATTAATGCTATTAGTATATAACAGTTCTGAGTAAAGAAATGTGTTTAATTTTGTTTAATGTCACAATTCTTAAACTTATTTGACCATGGAATCCTTTTTAAAAAATGCTACCCACTTTAATTTCCTCAGAAACAGTGTTCTGAAGAGTAGACCTAGAGGAAACCCCCATCCAACTCAACATCTTTATTTTACAGGTGAAGAAAAAGAAGCCTGGATTAGTTGATTTTCTCAAGGTCACAGAGGAAGAACTGAGCCAAAGACTCAGGTCTGAAGAAAGGTATTGCAAAGACAATTCTTGGTATTCACAGGGAAGGGGAAAACATTTCTGATGATAAAGATCATGCGATTGAAATATTTAATGCCATTTCAAACAACGAAAACCCATATTTCATCCCATTTATAGTTGTTCTACATATAGGATCTGTTTTGCAAACACGACACCTTTGTTTATAACCATGGAGACATATGTTGTTTGCTCCTAATATCGTACCATGCGTGAGAAAATGATATGCCTTCTATATGTGATGCTAATTTGAGTTTCATCCTGTTATATGGACTAAATATTACATGAAATTGTGATAGAATCATCCTGTCTTAAGTTACACTATTTAACAGTTATGATAGGCTAAGGGAGGAAGAACGCATGTTTTACTGCTTACATTAAGGATATACATCTGCTTTAAAACTATGTAATTTCTTTTCTAGTGCCCAAGCTGATTTGCTATGGGCTCAAGCAGATATTAAACGGGTTCTGTCTCTGATGGCTGCAGTTTGCATTCTGAGCATGAGCGCAGCCCTGGTGCAGGACAGGCAGTCTCCAGCAACAGATGTCAACCTCCCTTGTAAAGGCACTGCTCTGTCTCACAACTGGCAAAGAGAACTGAAGGAGTTCCCTTCCCTTTACGGCTTTTATCTCTCTGGTTAATAGGGGATGCTGCCTAAAGGAGGCAATTCTTGTGCAATAAATCCAGACTGCAAATAAAGCAAGGCAAGAGGGAGGAAAATCACAATGCAAGAAGTTTCCTTTGTTTACTATGTTTAATTGGGATTCCACACTTGAATGAAGAAGAGAAGAGGTTCTCTCCCAGGGTGACTGGGAAGGCGAAAAAAGGTAGGTTTGCTCTGTCTCTGTGCTTTTTAATGTGCAAATTAGAGCCTTTCTCAGCCCAATAGAGTCTAGTTCTGAGTAGAGGGCCAGTGTCTCCGTGGGTGCTCAGTAAATATTAATTGAAGAGGGTGACGGCTTTGAGGAGTGCGCTTAATTACATTCTGTCAGGCACAAGCCCTCTAGCCATGCACAGAAAGGTCCCCTGTTTCTTGCCCTAAGCACCACCCGAGTGACCCCGCTGGTTGATGGGAAAGGTCTCAGTTCTCTCATTTGTCTTCCACCTCATCTGCAGGTCTCCTTCCCAACGCACTCTGCCTTCTGCACTCAGAGGCTGATGAGAACAAACAGGGAAGAGTAAAAACAACAGCTGCCGCAGCCTCGCTTCTTGTAGAGCTTCCTCTGATGAGCTGTCCGCAGAACCTTCCTTGGGCTGGCAGGAAAGGGCAGGGCTGAAGGGGTGGGCTGGAGAATTAGGTGGGGGCTGCAGCAAGGAGCAGGGTGTGGTGTTGTTGTTATCATTCCCAGCAACTCACGCCCTTCCTGAAAGAGGATTACACAGCTTGTGGTGTCTCCTGTGGGGGAGTGCACACTGTACCTCGGACGTCAGGCTTGGGGATGTGAGTACTCTGGCCACTGGCGTGTGGGAGACCTTGACTATGTCTCATCTGAGCAAAAGCTTTAAGAGTCTGCGATGGACTGAAGGGTTGTTTTTCCCCAGAATTCACATACTAAAGCCCTACCCCGCCAGTGTGATGGTATTTGGAGGTACGGCCTTTGGGAGCTGATCAAGTCAGGAGGATGGGATTAGTGTCCTTTTCAGAAGAGATGCAAGAGAGACAGTCTCTTTCCAGCCATGTGAGGACACAGTGAGAAGGTGGCTGTCTACGAGCCAGGAAGTGGACCCTCACCAGACACTGTATCTGCTGGTACCTTGATCTTGGACTCCCCAACCTCCAGACCTGGGAGAAATAAATGTTTGTAGTTTAAGTTACCACTGTATGGTATTTTTATTATAGCCCCCTAACGTGGTAAACAGTCATTGTATGTTCCCATCAGCTCTCTTGCTATTTCCTCTTTGCCATATGAATGGCATGCCCAAAAGTGGACTGCTCTTTCAGCCTGGATCTGGAATGACGAAGACACAAGTCAGTTTTGATGCACATGTCCTCTTCATTCCAAATCCCAGAAAAAGCCTTCATAGTCGTAGCTGAGATAATTGGGGTTGTTCCAGCCGGTGAGCTGACTAATTCGCACTGGGTGAGTGGAGGAGCAAAGTGAAGTTTGTGGCTTGAGTGTTCTACCAGTACTGGTCTTTACCATTGGACTGCCAATATGGGAGGAATAAAAGCTCCTGCAGGCCTGGTACCTGCTGTTCTGACACTGTGTCCAATAGTCTCCTTGAACTAAATGAAGCATAATATGCTGTATATGACATTCCAACTGTCAACAGATCAAGAAAGGGACTTGTCTATGAGGCTGTACCTCCAAGGCGAGAGAAAACTTAGCTTTCTCCAGAGACCCTCATGAAAGTCATTGTATCTTTCACTTCTCTGAGCAGCAATCAGGGTTAACCCTAGTGCCCATTCCAACTCTGGAGGCACCAAAACCTCCCAAGGGGAGCACAGGGCCCCTGGTAGGCCTGCTTACAACCACATGGGTAACTTCAACTCATTCACGCTTTGTCTGAGTGTCCATGGTCTTCCTTCAAAGCATATGCCTGGTGTGAATTATAACTAAATACTGACTTAGACCAATGTCCTTCAGGGAACAACTGCCAAAACATAAAACATTCATGAGTTTGAGGTCAAGTATAGCTTTTCGTTGTTCCTGGAGCCCATTATTTGTTGATTTAAGTTAATGCTATGCCTTTATAAAGATGGTTATATGAAAATATTGAATCACACAGCCTCCTCCAGGAACTCTTTGCCTAGAAAATTCTCATACTCTTGTCAAATTTAAGCAGATTACATCATACCAAGAGACTTTGATAGCTATCATAAAATAAGGAGTCCAAACCAACGGATGATTATAACTGCCAACAGGAATGTAACTGTGAACTTTAAAAATATGCTAACGTTTGTCCCTGTATAGAAATATTAGCCTTAAGTTCTTTCGATGACATATGTGTATGTTTTTATAATTTATTTTTATAATAGGGTAGGAAAAATCAGCTCCAAGAATATGGCTCTCCCCTTTGATGTTTATCAGTGATAGCAGTAATGTCAGGGAGCATTAGCATACAGAATAAGTACAGAGATGCTGCCTAAAGCATATCCTTGGATTTTGTTTTAAAAGAATTTTATATATATCCCAACCCCTGGCCCAACTTTAATGATGTTTTAGATCAAATTCCTATATACTGGATGGTGATTGAGGTCTGGGGTCTTGTCCTACTCACCTTTGTAGGCTCAGGAACTTGCATAAAGTAAATGATTTAGAGGGCCTTGAAAAGGATTTGGGTGAACAGATGGATGGAGATAAGTGGATTGGGGGGGTAGATTAAAGAATGAGTGGAAGAAGAGATACCTGGGATCACAGCCCCCTAAACTGCTATAAATAAATAAGGATAATATAAGGAAAAAAATATTGTTTCTTGGTTGATGTTAATATACTATATTTCTGAGAGAAGGCCATATTTGCTTTTAATACAGATATAATAAATACAAATTATTGTAAATTAAGTTGTTATAACCATTATTATCATAATAATAAATCAGAATGCTTATCCTAAGGCATCTTTTGCTTTCAAATGCTCCTCTTCTATTACTCCTGGAGGCCCATGGTGATAGAAAATTTTCTTCATGCCCTCAAAGGTTTTCCTTGAGAACCCTTCCACAGTGACCCCACAACAAGACAGGGTTTCATTAACCCTAGTGCCTCCTACAACACTGGAGGCACCAGAACCTTTCAAGAAGAGCAAAGGGGATTCTGGTAGAGTAGCATGACAGCATGGATAACTGACGTGTTTGTGCTTTGTCTTAGGGAAGGCATATGATTGGAGTTCCTCAGTTACTCTAATGTAGTAACAAAAGTTTTTATCATATTCCTATAATCCCTTTTATAGGGAGGAGCAGGTAAGTTCAGATTGGATAATATTGGTGTTCTTGGTAAAATTTCATGAGGTTTGTAATTGTTTTAATGAGAGGTTGGTTCCCATAGCCCCTAGACCTGTTAGGTTTTAATGATCAACTACTAGGTTCATCCTACAAAATGAGAACCTTTCAAAGGAAAGAAATACTTCCTTCCTTTGAAAATTCTTTGTTGATCTTACACTCCTCTCTAGTTGTTGCCCTAGTTCTACAGCATTTGACCCCAGTTACCACTCCATTTTCTTGAGCTTGACTTCTCCCTTAGCTCCCGTGACTCACTGCCTTCTTGTTCTCCACCTATTTCTCAGACCATTCCTTCTCAGAGTCCACTGCTGGATCCTGACCATTACCTACCCTTCAATGTTGACTTTCTTCACAGCTTGTCCTCAGGCTCCTCAGTGCTCACTCTGTACCCTCTCCTTCAGTGTGCCCACCCATGGTTTCAATTCTCACCTCTGCACCAGGAACTCCCAACTCTGTATGTCTGGTCTTGATCTCTCCTCAGCTCCAGACCTGCAGATACAGGTGACTCGCAGATATCTGTGTCAGGGCACACAATCACCTTCAACTCCTGCTCTGCTCCTTTATCTTGGTTGATGGCCACCGCCTGCCCCCCATGCCAGGAATGTCACTCTCCCAGAGCTTATCAAAGAGTTGACCAACACATTAAACATTTCAGTGCTTACCTTATGGCAACCAGTATGCTAGGTGGTAGGTACAGAGATGAGAAAGATGTTTCCTACCACGACGAACCTGCACTGCACAGGGAGAGGAAGCCAAGCAAACACAAAGGTGAAGTGAGGTGACATTAAGAAGTAAGACATTATGAATATACAGAGGAGAAAAGGAGTGATACTCAATGAGGACTTCAAAAAGAGCAGCAAGTTGGACCTTAAGGATGAATAGAAATTAAAATTAGGATAGTGGAAAGGGTGGTATTCCAAAACTGGGAAAGTATGAGCAAATGCACCTAGTGTAATTGCACAGCTTATTTCATTCATGTATTCGACTAGTTAGAGCTCCAAAACTGTTCTAAGCTTAGAGGAAAAGAATGTGCTAATAGCATTGTGTGTGTGTGTGTGTGTGTGTGTGTGTGTGTGTGTGTGTGTTGGGCAAATTAGGAATGTGGTAGAGGAAGAAACTAGAAAAGTAAGTTGGGGCCAGCCCATGAAAGCAGATGTTTGTTTTATTTACTTGAATGAAATGTACTTTGTCCTTCCTGTTGGAAGGGTAGACGGCTAAATTTCAGGGCTGGCATTCACTTCAGTAGTTACAAAATAATACAAGTTGACAGTAAGTTGAAAAAAGTATTATGATGTGACTTCCTGCCATACACTGGAGAATTTCATAGCAGCAAAATAAGTATTTAGTGAACCAATGTGTTGTAGATCCTTTTCCAAACCTCACTGCTTCCCTGGTCAGCTCTGGACAATAATGCAAGTCAGGTTAAGAAGAAAAAGAAGGGAGAGGAAAAACAGGGAGGAGTGGTGGGGGAGGAAGAGAAGAGGAGAAGGAGGGGAAGAGGAAAAAGAAGGAGAAAACCAACAACTATTGTTCATGTACGATTCTCTCATACTGAGAGCCTCAAGAGAGGGGAGGCTGATGGATCAAACTGCTTTAACAAGCCTTACCACCTGCAAGCTTCACCAGAAATAAAATCTGGGCTCTCCAATCAGAGGTGGATTTTTTTTTTAACTCTGCCGGCCTTGAAGGGACATGGAACATGTTCTCCAGGGTAGGATGTACCTGAGATTGGCTGGCTAGAAAGTGCCTCGCTGTGGCATGCATCTCTTCTTCATTCCTAAGGTGAGGAAAGCAAGAAAATTTTCTGTAAAGAGTGGTACCAACAACACCTTAGAAAGAGACAATATGGAAATCTGTAAACTTAAAAAACCCAGACCACACGTATCAGTGAATCAGAGGCTATGTTTTACAAAGAGAGAGAATATATCGTGTCTGAAAGGATCAAGGTTCAAGAAGGGGAGCAGGCTAAGGTGCAAGGCGGTTGACCATCATGATGGACGTGAAAACCAGGTGGTGGAGGTTCTGTGTTGGGTTAAGATCATCTCACATCAAAAAAGGAAAATGAGTGAGAGGCTAGGCTTCCATGGGCTGCTGCCCAAAATAATGGGGGTAATATTTATATGAAATGGCTGCTGGTAGGCAAAAAGCCATTTCCCTTTTTGTGATAAGTGGTTGGCTGACACTGGAAAGTACACCTTCTATTCATAGTGCTAGGGTTGGTTTATCTGAAGAAACTCTTAATGTGTTTGAATTTGAAAAGAAATTGCACTCAGACTGCATATAGGAAAAATCTTGTACTTGAAACAGTTCATGCAGATTTGTAAGTAAGGCTTGAGAATCCAGAAAGACACAGTGACATTAGCCTGGTGTATTTAAAGGGAATGAAGTCCAAGGGAATCTGCCAGATTGAAGAGGAACTCCTCTGTGTTCTCTCCAAGCTGAACATTCCATTTTTACAAGGGCTCCTTTGTTGTCCTGTTTGTACACAGACTAATGAATGCTTGACCTTTTTCAGTGATGAAGGCACAGTCTGTACCTCAGGAGCATATTATTTCAAGAAGCACAAATGAAGAGAAAGTCCAAACCCCATTGGGACAGATGGACTAAATATTTTGATATTGGAACCACATGGGGAAAGGCAGGGACTGGGAACCAAATGGAGCTTGCCTTGATAAGGGAACCTGGACAGAGCGTCAGTCTTCTCTGGTGTTTCTAGGGACTCCAGTTATATAAGCACTGGACACTGACCTCACCTGAGAGGGCTGTCAGAATCAGCTCAACATTTATCTTCATGTGTGGTAAAAATGGACAATAAGTGAGGAAAATATTTGTGGCCTGGCAAAAAATGTTGAATTTCTCAATTTGGGACTTTTGTATAAAAATAACTAGTTTTCATCAAGCCTTTACTTTCTATCTAGAACAAAATGTCTTATATGAATTAACTTACTTATCATCAGATTGACCCCATGATGCAGGCACTATTGTTTCCACTCCCACTTTTCTTTCTCATATAGACATAGAGGCCCAGTGAGGTAACCTCCAAGAGTCACAGGATGTTAGGGGGACTTTGAATGCAGTTAGTCTGATGTCTGATCCCTGCTGTCTTGTCTCCCAGTGACTTCAGCAATCACCAGACTGTTCTTTTCCCTCCCTCCTCCAGTGCTGCTTATTTACCACTCCCTGGTCTGAGTAAGAACTACTGCTAATTAAGGGTGAACTCCAGAGCTCTGGAGGTACCTGTGTAGTTGCTCTAAAGTGCCCCCTGTATTTGTGTGTCTTTGAAATACTAAGTATAAGATAAATTTTAGCCGAAATAAGCAGGTGAAGAGAGGCAACAAAAGGCCAGGTAGTTTATTTGAGTGCAACTCCTGGGTGATGGTCCTCAATCTGGGTATTACAGGCTGGGGAAGTCATACCCGGTCAGGGAGGTGGGGGCTTATAAGGGATTAGGAGGGGGAGGAGTGGGCAAGCTATCCTACGGGGTGTGGAGAGGTATGATTGGCTAAAGGTGACATGATAGACAACTAGAAACTTTTTTTCCTTCCAAGAGGTAGGAGGCTGACATCCTGGTCTTAGCTGGCACATCAGAAGGATGGAATTCAGGAAGAGCTGTCCCCTTTCCATGTAAGACACAGACCTTGGGGTCTGGTCTGTTCTCCCCCTATGGCATCTCTTTGTTCTGTTTGCATGTCCTTGTTTTTCCTTCCTCCACCCTAACACTAAGCCCCTGGCAATCATTACAGTGGTGTGGGACATGCTTAGAATGTGGTGTTTCATTCTAACTTAGTGTTGTTTCTAACATGATAGTGTTAAGAATCATTTTGAGAGCCAAGATAGTAATTGATGATAGTGGCAGAAAGTCTATTTTAAAAACTAAAAATAACTTTTGACTAAAAAAGCCTTGACTTTGGAGTGTCAGGGACCAGTGATGAAGTGGGGGGCTCCAGTTACAGAGCTGAACCTCAGGAACCTAAATACAGTGACTCGCAGCAGTGAAAGCCAGAAGCCCTCGGTAACAGGAAGCCACAGGTCTCGCTGCTGGGCATGATGAACTCCTGCCCTCAGTGCCGCGTGAGGCAGAGACGACGGCCCCTCGACGGCCCCTCCAAGACTGTTGGCCAAGAGCGGTGTTGGGTGGGGCTGATAACAGCCCTGCTCAGGGACAGCAGTACTTCTGGGGGTGGGGGTGGGGTGTCTGCCGCACCCTCGGGTCAGGACCAGCCCGGCCTCCTTTCTCTTCCCCCCTCCCAGGAATCTGGATGCTCAGGCTTTGGCTCTGTTTCCTCCATTCTACCTGCACCCAACTCCAGGTTAGAAGCAATCAGATAAACTCACTCATTCTGGAAAGTTTAATGTGTGACCTTTCCAAGGGGAGCCCGGTTTTAACAGAAACATTAAGCCTCGGAACAAAGGGGCACCAAGGTCCCAAATTTAACTCACTAATGCTCAGGAGTATGAGAAGCTGAAAGGCAGCTTTTTTTGTTGTCCATAAATGATTTTCCTTCTCCAGCCTTCACACTGGGTGATAATAGGGGAAAAAATGTTAAAATTTCCATTTAAAGCCATCTCAGTCTGTCTCAATTTCAGATAGTCTTATTTTGAGCAATTATTTAATCACTTACAATTTAACCCCTGTGTCAGTTTTCTGTTACTACCATAAAAAATAATGCAAATTTAGTGGCCTAACACAGCATGAATTTATTATCTTACAATTCTAAAGTTCCAAAGTCCAGAGTGGGTCTCCGTAGGCTAAAATCAAGGTATCAGCAGGACTGTGTTCCTTCCTGGAGGCTCTAGGGAAGACTCTCTTCACTTGGCTTTCCAGCTTCCAGAAGTACCTTGGAGTATGGCCCTTTTCTTCCATCTGTAAAGCCAGCAACAATGGCTTCAGTTCTTCTCACATCTCTCCCCTCTGATCTGACTCTTCTGTCTCTTTCTTTGACATTAAGGATGCTCAGGATCACACTGAGCCTGCAAAGACAATCCAGGTAATCCCCGATTTAAGGTCAGTTGATCAGCAACCTTAATTCCATCTGCAATCCTAATTCTCCCTTGCTATGTAAATAGATTTTCACAGGTTCCAGGGATTAGAATTTGGACATCTTTGTGTGTGTGATGGGGAGGAGGCATTGCTCTACCTGACACACTACTCTTTTCAACTTGTTTTCTCTCGCTTATTTACTGTTCTTTCCTAAAATGGCACATGGGTCCCTGGAGATGGGGAGAGAGGGACTCAGACCCAAAGGTTATTTCCCTCTGGATTCTTGCTGGTTTCCACCACAAAGTGCTGGACTAGGCTCGTTTCTGGCTGGGCTGGATCCCACCAATTAAATCTGTGATTTGTGAATTTATCTCATGATAGATTACAAACCACCTCAAAAGTTAGTGGCTTGAACCAACAATATTTTAACCATAAAACAACAATTATTTCTCCTGATTCTGGGGATTGACTGGGCACAGCTGGGCAATTTTTCTGTTTCTTTTGGTTTATCTGAGGTACTCATGTGGCTGTATTCAGCTGAGAGCTTGGCCTGGACTGGAACATCTAAGATGACCTTTATCCTCCGCAGTCTTTTTCCTCACGTCCTCTCATTATTCGGGAGTGTGGCCTGCGTTTCTTTACAGCAAGGCAACTGGCTTCTAAGAGAACAAAAGCAAAAGCTGCCGGACTGGGGCCTCCTACTGGCACAATGTCCCTTCAGTCACAATCAATTGGTCAAGACAAAGTGTGGCATCAGCCAGATTCAAAGGGAAGGAAAACAGACTCCTTGTCTTTGTAGATACAGGTATGAGAGGGAATGATAGCAGCTATATTTTCAGGAAAATTGCCACATCATCTGTTCTCTTAGCTTGACCAGGGCCTGAGGCACTGGCTCTGTGACTCCTGAGTCTGGCTCTAAATGTCAGTCAGGGAACACTGTCATCATTGTATGGCTGTACATTTATGACCCACCTGGGTGGTATGCCCTGCAGCCTTTGTCCCAGGGTCACTGAGCTTCTACATGGTCATCTTCTGGCAAATGCTCCAGTTGCCCCCACTGTCTACAGTTTGCAGCTCCAGGGCTAGTGGGAGCTCCTGGGTGTTTTGGCTCTACAGGCTAACGAAGGAAGCTTGGCAATGCTAACTTAGGCCTCCGCAGTGAGCTGTGTTGTGCCACCATTTTTACTCCTCTGAGGCTTCTTGGCCACAGTGGAACACCTTGCATTGTAGGCTGCTTTTGCAGTTAGAATTGGAGGTACAGCTTGCCTGCTGGTGAGTTATACAAGAGATGCATTTCCCAGTCCTAGGAGTAGGGTACCAATTCTCTCTGCTTTTTGATTTCTCCTGAAACCTGTCTCATTGCTCCTTCCTCTAAGATTTTGTTCCAGAAGACCGAATTGGAGCATACCTGGCTAACTGCTTGGTTTTCATTGTCTCCAGGACAAAAAGACTTTCCTTTTTCCCCTTGCTGCTTGTTAGTAGCTTCAGAACATCTTTACAAAACTTAAGAACTCCTTTATAAAGGGTAGTATTTGTCTGGTCCACTATTTAGGCTGCTGGGGATGATAAGGAGGGAGATTACAAATAAAATGGATGAATATTTTTAAAAAATATCATTACCCCTCTAAGAAATTCATCATGAGTTATTCAGGTTGGTGGACAAAGGCTCTGCCCTGGAATATCTCTGCACTGTAACTACAGCAGCCATTTCTCTTTGGAAGGTATCCACTGCCAGTTAAGAGCATCTAGGAAGTGCAAAGCACCCTTTCCTGTGCTACCATCACTTTCCTCCCACACGCAGACAAAAACATGCCCAGATGCACACTCTGAGAGTCTGCATCACCTGGGTCTTCCAGAGACCAGTCATCCATCCTGCTCAGTCCATGGATCTCCCTGCCTTTCAGGCAGGGTCCCAGCTGCTGTTAGTGCTGCCCAATAAGTGGCACTAAACACGGGTTGTCAGGAGCTGAAAGTGGAGATGCATCCTATCCGTGTTGCACAGGCAGTGTACTTCCAAAAGAGTCTGCATGCTCTGCCTTTGCTGGGGTGGTTGAAAAATACATGATGGACATGCATCATGGAAAATAGTTGCAGTGTATAGCTAGGAAAGTCAGCTACAGTTACATCCCTTGCCCTGCATATATACATTGTATGTATTTCTTATGAGACTCCTGTCTCATTTTGTCATTAGACAAAATTGTATACTGATGTAGAATATCATTGCAACAGCACTTTCATCATTGTAGGGGATCTAAACTTATGACCTTATTGTTGAGAAAAAAGGAAGAATAAGACAATTCCTTATGGGAGAATATATTTGTAAATGACATATCTGATAAGGAGTTGACATCCAAATTATATAAAGAGCTCACGCACCTCAACAAACAAAAAGCAAATAAGTCAATTAAAAAGTGGGCAGAGTTGCTGAACAGACACTTCTCCAAAGAAATTCAGATGGCCAACAGGTGCATGAAAAGATGCTCGACATTGCTAATCATCAGAGAAATGCAAATTAAAACTACAATGAGATATCACCTCACACCCGTTAGGATGGCCAACATCCAAAAGACAAATAACAACAAATGTTGGCAAGGATGTGGAGAAAAGGGAACCCTCCTACATTGCTGGTAGGAATGTAAACTAGTTCAACCATTGTGGAAAACAGTATGGAGGTTCCTCAAAAAACTAAAAAATAGAAATACCATTTGACCCAGGAATTGCACTCCTAGGAATTTACCCTAAGAATGCAGCAGCCCAGTTTGAAAAAAACATATGCACCCCTATGTTTATTGCAGCACTATTTACAATAGCCAAGAAATGGAAGCAACCTAAGTGTCCATCAGTAGATGAATACATAAAGAAGATGTGGTCCATATACACAATGGAATATTATTCAGCCATAATAAGAAAACAAATCCTACCATTTACAACAACATGGATGGAGCTAGAGGGTATTATGCTCAGCGAAACAAGCCAGGCAGAGTAAGACAAGTACCAAATGATTTCATTCATCTGTGGAGTATAAGAACAAAGCAAAAACTGAAGGAACAAAACAGCAGCAGACTCATAGAACCCAAGAATGGACTGTTACCAAAGGGAAAGGCGCTGGGAAGATGGGTGGGAAGGGAGGGGTAAAGGAGAAAAAGGGGCATTACCATTAGCACACATAATGTAGCAGAGGGGGACATGGGAAAGGCAGTATATACAGAGAGGACAAGTAATGATTCTATAGCATCTTACTACACTGATGGACAGTGACTGTAATGGGGTATGTGGGGGGACTTGATAATAGGGGGAGTCTAGTAAACATAATGTTGTTCAAGTAATTGTACATTAATGATATCAAAATAAAATTAAATTAAATTAAAAAAAGACAATTCCACAGAGCTTAGCCGTGGAAAAGGGGTTGATACTATAAAGTTCCTGGAATGTAAGCACTGCCCTTACATGCCTTACAGAAAAGCCAACCAACCTTATTTCCAAACTAGGTGGTTTTGATTTAGAAGACTCAGAAATAATATCCTGTGATTCTTCAGTTCTCCTGGGGATCTGGAGATGTGTTGAGAATACCCAGACTGTCAGTACATGCAGCCCTCGTACCTCAGTGAATAAAGGGACCAGACGTAGTCCTAAGTGGAGCCAGGCTGAAACACAGGATGGAAGCCTAGGAGGGGAGAGTCAGAATGTGAGGGACCAGAGAATTTTGTTCACCAGCACAGACCTGCTCTGAATAATACTTTGCTAAGAAGAGGTAACATGGTTCTCTGGCAGAAGCACGGGGCCAGGAGTCAGAACACCTAGGTCCCAAGCCCCAGTACTGTCACTGTCTACTCTAGTGAGCTTGGGTGACTTGCTCTCCCTGAGCTTCATGGTCCTTGTCTATAAAATGAGGCAGGTGAGACTGGAGGTAGTTCATGGTCTAAGGCTCTCCTCTGACAATATGCTCACAATAATTATTCACTAGTGAGAAAAAATCGAAGACATGAGGTCAGACTGAATCCCATACACACTAGTAGGTTGCCATTGAGATTGCTGACATGCCAAATGAGAAATAGTCACAAGAATCCATGAAGATCTAAATAACAGCTTTCTTGCTGAAAAAAGCTGGACTGGAGAAAAGAACTATGGCTGAAATCAGGCCTTCTACTCCTTTGCCTCAAGTCTCCACCTTGGGGCCCATGGAAGGAGTGTATTAGATCTGCAGAGCACACACCCAGGCAGCTGAATGGACAATGGTGGTCTGCTTCTCACTCTGTGGTCCTCCAGACTATGCAGGATGCTGCCTTGAAGCTGGGGTGGCACGTCAGCTTGTCTTGTAGGCAGGCGTCTCTAAAGAGAAAGCCCGGTGGAGCTGAGCTAATTCAGTACTCTCCTAATATCACCAATCAGTCTCTTATCCCTTGGGGGAAAATGGAGGAGGAAATTGCAGCAGTAAAAGACCATGTACAATTCATTGTAGAGAGCAGAAATTCCAATTTGGAAGACAACTTCTGAATGTCCAGAGAGAGAGAAAGTGGTTTTTCCTACAAGTGCTTCTACCATTCTTGAATTTGGGGATGTTTAAAGGAGAAGAGTAACATGACAGGTGGGGAGCATGTATACAGAAAGGAAGTTGGGGATTTGTGATCTCAAATACCAGCCTCTTCATAATTAAAGAGCAGGGTTTTTTTAGCATTTGCTAAGCCAGCCCTCCCCATATTGCTGTATACTTGGTGAAAAGCTGAAAGTTCATAAAAACAATTGGAAACATTTTAGTATACATGGCCTTAGTTAAAGGAGCAAAATCCAAAGGACAATGGCCTGAATCAAACATAGATTTATAATGAAGAAAGGAGAAAATGAAAGGGATTAATATTTACTAAGTATCTCCAGTGTGTCAGGAAGCATATTGGTGACTTACATATATAAATTATCTAATGAAACTGTTGCAATGACTTCCTTATAGAGATAAATATACTGAGGCTCAGAGAAGTAAAGCAAATTTCAAAGGTCATATAACTAACATGGGTTAGAATTAGGAGTAGAGCTCAAGTCTTCCACTAAAATCTGTGCTTTTAGTAAATATTCCACATTGCTTTGAGAAGTGCTCTTATCCAAGGCAAAATCCCAAACAGAAGAGCTGGTATTTGGAGAATATTAGACTAAGTAAGAAAATTAATTGAAAAGTTTGGGAACTTAATAAAGCACCAAACATATGCTTATAGTTCTGTCCAATGACCTTTGGAGGGATAACAAGGGGATGGGTACCTTTAACCTGGGGTGTGGGACTTTGGCTCCAAAATTAGACCTACTGGATAATGTAATAGACAAGGTGGGACAAAGGACTGAGGAATCACTAATTGTGTTCTACATGGAAACTGGCATGTTGGCCCTCAATGAATGTTTTAGTGATGAGAGCTGAAATGACAATAATTATGCCACATCCAGGAAACAACAGTAATGATAGAGGAGAATTGGAAGTTCAAGAAGTAGGCTTACAAAAGAGGGCTCTTTATGGAGGCAGATCTAAAGCCTGAAATTGCTGAACCAAGACCAAGGGCCACTCCAGTACTTACTGAGTAAAGGGGCAAAGTGGTTAATGACAGTATCTGGCCCCAGGGAGATGTGAACCTAAAACAGTGGAAGCCATAGAATGCTGACAGATGTTTAAAAAAAAAAAAACCATGGAGAAATTGAATTCATGTCTATTTCCTAATTTGAACAAAGCATTGTTCTACTCTCCATTTGCTGGACAAGGCTTCCTTTCTGTCTCTGGAAGTAATTGCCATTTATAGTCTTAGGATCCATTATACGTGTAAATATGTCTAATTTAATGAATATGTCTAAATTAATACCTTGCCAATCTGTATTATCAGAAAATCAAATGTCACAAATAAGTGAATTTTCCAGTGAACAGAAGCTTAGCCCTTTTAAACACCAAGTTAAAAAAAAACAGCTTTTTTTATGGAAATTGTAATAAAGTGGATTCCATTCTTCTTGGCCTCATTAAATAGAGTATATGGAACATCATTTAACATGTTCTTAATGGCTCGGAGTCCTTGCTGTGAACATCAGCTGTATCACTGGGCAGTGATACAAGGTGTCCTCAGGGATTGGTGACATATACAGGGTCCCACTGCAATCTTTCTGGCACCCAGAGGAGATGATAGTCCTCCCTGCCTGTGACCACTATTGGCTTCTGCTCTTATCCCCAAGTTCCACATATGTACTGGTTTCTAGTCCTTCTGCTTTAAGCAATAATCTCATAATATATCATCTTTAACTTTGTGTGAACTGATAGCTGTTGTAAAAATCAAGTCACCAATCTTTTTTAAACTGTCACCGTATTTATTTAGAATTTTCTATCAATAGGTTATGATATAAAGGTTTGGAAATAACCTGTGTATCTGCCATAAACAAATCATATTGACTTGTGGCCAGGAATTTCCTTGATGTTTGGGCATCTTATACATTGGCACTTATGTAAATTCACAGCTGTATTCAGAATGCTTCTGAATTTTGGAGTCTGACCACCAGATAGATAGGACATTATTGGTATTGCAAGTCTTATTGTCCTTTGTTTTCTAAGATGACATCACCCAATGCTCTAGTTTCATACTATTACTTCAGAATTAAGTCAATCCAGAGAATAAGCACAAAAGGAAGGAATCTCATTGTATTGGGTAGCTCTTGCCTTGTAACAACCATCCCCAAATAGGGGCTTATAACAGCATTTCTTGTCTCTTACCATTCTGTGGCTCACTGGAAAATTTTCCTAGTCTGAGCAGGTTCTACTTGAGCTAGACCCATTCACATGGGTGGGGCCCTAGCTCAAATAGTTGCGGCCTCTCTCCAAGTCACTTCATCTTCCAGCCAACAAGCCCAGTCTTGTTCATCTGGGGAACAGGAGAAAGTGAATCTATTATGCAAGCACTTTTTAAGCTCTGTTTGTGTCATGTTTGCTAATGTTTCAAAGGCCAAAGCAAGTTATGTGGCCAAATCCAGATAGCAGGGAAAAAATAGACTCCATATCTTAATGGGAGGGGCTACAAAGCCACAGCACAAAGCAGCAGGCATACAAGGATAGAAGGATCCTGTGCTTATTTTACAGTTCACCACATGCATAGTTCTTACCACAGCTCAGCATGTGCACCTCATGGTCTGCTACTCCTTTGATGGACTGAGCTAGTGCTCTTCTTCCTACTACCATCAGAACTCTTGGAAAAATAGCTTTTCTCATCACTTCCATTTCTTTCTCCTGGATTTACTTCTTAATTCTTGCAAGCTAGTTTCTGCAGCAACTATTCTAGTAACAAGTTTAAACAGCTACTTCCTAATCATCAATGATGACTTCTCAGTCCCTGTCTTCCTTGATGTTTTATAGTTTTTAACACAGTTAATCTCCTTTTTTAAACTCACCTCCTGTAGCATTACAATTAGTATTCATTTCCTTCCCAGTTCATTCACTGCTTTTTCAATTTTCAGAGCTGTGTTCTATCTTCTTTTTCTTATGTCCTCTTAGTAAACTCATTCACTTCTACAGCTTCATTGTAAACCTCTGGGCAGATGATTTTCCCAACGACTAAATTTATTTCTTGAGGTTGTCTACCTTTTTCAAATGGCCAATTGAATATTTGCAACCAAATATTTTATCTGTAGTTCCTCTGAAATCTATTTTGGCTGCAAACTAAGCAGATAGTGCTGGGAGCTGTATAATGCTTGCAGCTTCTAGATCGTTTGATTCTAGATGAAAGAGACTAGTGGTGATAAAGGGAGGGAGCACAGGGCTAACTAACATCTGCTGGATGCCTACTGTGTGCAAGGCCTTGTAGTCTCTCTTAATTGACAGAGGTGAATACCTTCTAGGATTGCTTTCCTATAGTAGTTATAGGGGCTGGTCAGATGCACATAAGGAACCTGCAAAGGTATCATTGCAAACAGTATTGGTGCCCCAGTGAAAACTGCAGTCACACCAAAGGGAATGAGCCTGTAGAGATCTGTTTGTTGTAATAAATCAGAGGTATCCAGCAGACAACTTTCAAAGAGTTTCTGCTCAAGGTATCAGGGAGTTCGCAAAAAAAAAAAAAAAACAACCATTCTTTCCATAAGAAAGGTCTGGTTTCTCAGGGCAATTGATTATAAAATAAAATAAAATAGCAATTTTCCTTTATTCCTCCTGATAAAAGATCTCAGAGACCCCTAGGTACTAAACTTAGCTCCTCCTAACGTTTCTTCTGTTCTGTGTGTAGATTTCACCCAGTTTCCTTCCTAAGACTGGGCTACAAGGTGGATGGACTTTATATGGGTTCTACTTTCACAAAATCATGAGATGTTGAAAATGTTTGCAAAGACACCAGCAGAATATATGTGATGGATATACTGTGAGAGCCCAGAGTCAGACTTAAGTATTTCTGGCCTTTGAAGAGCAAACCAACTGCCCTGTTGCAGGCTCTCTGCCCACACAAAAAGGATTGGGCTGACATGCTGAAGATGTGCACACTTCCCTCCACAAATTTTTGTGACAGTGGGAAGCAGGGAGGAGTTGAGGGAACATAGGGAAAAGATGCTTTCTGCTTTCTAGAAGGACCTTCTCTCTTTTTTAGCAAGAGAAGGAACTTTTATATCTGTAATTGCCCCAAGCACACCATCCTGGGATAAAAATAGAGAAATCATAACATTAACAAACAGTACTTCTCTGATCCCAGTCCTCAGCACTCTGCAATAAACCCATCCTCGCTCAAATTCTTAGATTAGCCAGGTGTCTTTAAAACCTTACTTCTAAGAGGTCTTGAAGAATCCCTCTTAGCTTTTTTCATTTATTCCTCTCCAGCTCTGGTTCCCAATGGTGGTATTTGTTATTAAGTCACCAATGTGTCAGTGATTCTGTGAAAATTGATCTTCTTTGCATGCTTAGGTTTAACAAACATTTTAACAGATTTATCAATCTATTGTTATTCATAATCACAGAACACTTGATTTATTGTAATTTCGCATGAAGTAACATGTATGCAAATAGGAAAGTCTTAAACATAATGAGTTTAGCAGAAATTTATGAAAATGTCATTTTGCAATAAATTTCAGAAATTTGCAATAATTATTTTAAAAACTAATTTTTAAAAGTTTCTTTGAGATCATTTCAGATGTCTCCCAGTCACGTATTTCTCGCTAAAATATCTTCTCTAGGAAAATTATCATAAATTTCATTTCTATTTGGTATAACTATCTCATTGACCATATTGTCTGAGGGCTCATTCTAGGAACCTGTTGTTTAATTATTGTGTATTGGATATGAATTATCTTGTATTGTTCATGACTTTTACTCCATTGTCTTTCGTATTGTCAGTGGTTTATCAGTGCCATTGTCAGTGAATCTGGCTAACAGTGTTTGAAGCAGAAGAGATTCTAGCTCACTCCTTGATAGTTGCATTGGCTCAGTCTGAGCTAAAGTCTTATTTTCATTAAAGGGAGCAGACTTGCTGAGGAAGAAGGTGCTATTTTTACATAGGGACTTTTTCTGCTGAAACCACATGATAACACTATGCTGTTAAAATGATTTCAAGCATGCTGAGTTAGCTGCAGAAACAATACGCATGTTGCCAAAATCAAGGCAGTACTATTCTGAGCCCCCTCTAAGGTCCTCTAGGTCTTCTTCTTGGTCATGAAGAGGGGACTGGGGGGAGCTTGTGGAAATATACAAATTAGAGGGAGAATGGAGGAGGTCACTTACAGTCACCTAAAGGGGTTATTCAAATTTTCTGTTATTGCAACCAATCGTTGAAATACGGAAAGTTTTGTTTCTCAGATACTTGCATATCACTAATATTTGTTGAGCATTGCTTTTATTCTAGATTTTTTAAAAGTAAAACTGGCTTCAAACAGTAGTAGTAAAGTAACTTTAAAACATTAGAAACAGAAGTTTAGACAGAGGCCCTCCAATTCCATTAAAAAAATCATAATAACAATAATACGAATCATTATTATTATCATTATTATTGCTATAGATTATTATGGTTGAATATCTATTATATGACAGGTACTATACTACACATTTTACAAAAATTATTTCATTTAGTCCTCACAATAATCTTGCAAAGCAGCTGTTATCTCCATTTATAGAAGACAATGGTTTCTTTCTTTTTTTCCCTTCCTTTACTGATAATAGACATGTTATAATTAATACTCACAAAGAAAGTGACTGAGCAGGGATTCAAGCTTAAGTATAAATATCTAGCTCCAAAGACTGTGCTCTTTCATCAGGCTATGTGGCATGCCAGAGGATGACATACAGAACTAATAAGAAAACTTCTATCACACCATATTTTCATTTTTCATTCTTCCTTATTTCTCCCCCATATTCAGAAAGTGTTAGTGAGAACACATTGCAACACACCAAAAATGGAAAAGCAAAAATCTCCCTTCTTGGTAGTCTTCAAGTGCCAAATATATAAATCACTATTATTGGCTTTCCTTGTCTTCAAATACTGGAAGATCCTCTCTTCAGAAACACCAAAATTCTGTAAAGCAGAATTCTTTTTGTGGCCAAATATTCCCCATAATCTTGTATAGATTTGAGGTATTAGATAAGGAGAGAACCATAGCTGCTTGACTGGGAAAGCCAGATTTATAGCCACATGGAAATGAATAATAGCTCTGGAATATGACAGAGGAAGGCAAGGCAAGACCAAAGTTAGCATTCCCTGGATCTCAGAACAAATTGGAAGAGTTTGCAGAGAAAAGATAGAAAGATCTAGGAGAGATAATTATAGAAAGAAAATTTTAAGACATTTACCAAGTGTTTTTAATAAAATCCAATTCCAGAGTCATTTTCCTAAGAAAATCTACAAAAAGATATTCACTCATGTTCAGTTATTTTGGGGGACTGGACTAATGTTTCCTTCCTAAGACTGGGCTACAAGGTGGATGGACTTTATATGGGTTCTACTTTCACAAAATCATGAGATGTTGAAAATGTTTGCAAAGACACCAGCAGAATATATGTGATGGATATACTGTGAGAGCCCAGAGTCAGACTTAAGTATTTCTGGCCTTTGAAGAGCAAACCAACTGCCCTGTTGCAGGCTCTCTGCCCACACAAAAAGGATTGGGCTGACATGCTGAAGATGTGCACACTTCCCTCCACAAATTTTTGTGACAGTGGGAAGCAGGGAGGAGTTGAGGGAACATAGGGAAAAGATGCTTTCTGCTTTCTAGAAGGACCTTCTCTCTTTTTTAGCAAGAGAAGGAACTTTTATATCTGTAATTGCCCCAAGCACACCATCCTGGGATAAAAATAGAGAAATCATAACATTAACAAACAGTACTTCTCTGATCCCAGTCCTCAGCACTCTGCAATAAACCCATCCTCGCTCAAATTCTTAGATTAGCCAGGTGTCTTTAAAACCTTACTTCTAAGAGGTCTTGAAGAATCCCTCTTAGCTTTTTTCATTTATTCCTCTCCAGCTCTGGTTCCCAATGGTGGTATTTGTTATTAAGTCACCAATGTGTCAGTGATTCTGTGAAAATTGATCTTCTTTGCATGCTTAGGTTTAACAAACATTTTAACAGATTTATCAATCTATTGTTATTCATAATCACAGAACACTTGATTTATTGTAATTTCGCATGAAGTAACATGTATGCAAATAGGAAAGTCTTAAACATAATGAGTTTAGCAGAAATTTATGAAAATGTCATTTTGCAATAAATTTCAGAAATTTGCAATAATTATTTTAAAAACTAATTTTTAAAAGTTTCTTTGAGATCATTTCAGATGTCTCCCAGTCACGTATTTCTCGCTAAAATATCTTCTCTAGGAAAATTATCATAAATTTCATTTCTATTTGGTATAACTTTCTGAAGGTTTTATTCTTGGCAAAAGTGAAAGAAAATGACTACATGGTAGTTAATATTGGCATTATCAGATCCATTGCTTTAGGGTGTCTAGTCCTTGGTGAAAATGACTGAGGCATTCAAACATCACCCTTCTGATATCTTCTGGCACTGTAACAGCAGCATCTTAGATATTTCAATTGTTTATATCTACCTAACAGCTTGAAATTTCACCTGTTGATTATAGTCTAATAATATTTTACATGAAAAATTACTAATAACTAATGAACCCATTTTAATAAAACCTAAGCTTGAGTAAAAGGTATTTATTTAGTAAACTACTAAATTATATTACTGATATAATATTTAATTTTCTTGATTTATTTTTGGCTTAAAAATCATTTAAATCATTTGAAACCAAAAATAAATTTCTATCTTAAAGATAGCATTCAAAGTCAATAAAATATTTCACATGTCAACTTTCAGTTGTGCAGCACAAATAAAAACAAGTGGTCACACAGAATGGCAGAATTGAAGTAACTTAAGTTCTATTCATCTTTAAAGTCATTGTGCTATCATTATTTACTAAACATCAAAATTTTAAATTCAGACATACAAAGTACTGCAGGGGTTGGAGGAGTTATTAACAAAACAAATGTGTTGGGCGGAGTCCGTGTATATTAAAGGCTGGTTGGACAGTTAGGAGCTCACTGAATTCATTTCTGTATAGAATGCAATGGTTATTAAAGAAAATGTAACAAAACTTTTGAAGCTGATTTGAAGCTTGCTAATATATTAAAATTTAACAGTACTTGCAGCAGTTATTTAGAATTTAGACCAGAAAAAGGCCTCCCTTTTTTCAGAAAGGACGATTTTATCATTGATATTGTTTAGAATTGCAGAGAATGGTGATAATAAAAAGCAGACCAACTCTTAGTTTTATTACAGTTCAGCGTTCTCTAGGCAAGGCTCCCCTTACTGCCTGCCCTAGGGCCACTCTGTGGCTCTGCCCTTGGCAAGCTGCTGGTAAAGAGCGCTTGCAGATTTCTGAGACAAGGAGGCTGCAGCTCCAAACCGCAGATGATTTTGAAGTTAACTGTAATAAATAATTAAGTGTACATAAAACTTTGGGTTAAAGATTTGGGACAGCAATAAAAGATCAGAAGTATATTATTTTCTCAACTTTTAAGATTTTAGTTATTAGCCAACTTTTTGCAAGAAGAATCATTTATATATGTACTATAAATGCCCTGTAGCAATTGCTTTGACCCCTGAAGCAACATTCTCAGCGTAAATTGAAGGGGTTGGTCTAGAATTATCTTTAAGGCCCTTTCAGCTCCAACAGTCTGTGATATCTATTACACTTTTGTGAATGAAAGAAAATGCAGTCTTCCCCTTTCACCTCCCACAGTTCTCTCTTGCCCAATCCTCAGGAGTTTGCTTGGAGAAGAGCTTAAACCTGCAAATCTTTCGGCATTTCTATAATATTTACCCCAGAAAGTTGTGAGGGTTTGGACTAGGTGGTAAAGGGGAAAAAAAAACCCATAAATACTAAAGCTTTTTCCGGTTCTTTGTGAGTTCTGAGGGTGTCCATGGAGAGGTAGATTGTTATGGAGTGGATCCCATTTCTTATGCAATGGTAAGTCTCAGGATACAGTCTAAGGATAAACAAAGGGAACTGACATTGCTCTGTATAAAAATTCCATTGAAAGCCATCTCCTTCCTGGGAAGAAGCAGCTCTGATTATGTTGCATATGGAAAAATGGATGTTGATTCTACTATTTCTGAAAATTAGTTTCTGTTCTTGAAAAATCTTGTGTGTGCATGCACTTTGTGTGTGTGTATGTGTGTGTGTGTTAGGTATACAACAGACACCCACTAGACTACCCAAGGGGACGTGAAAATGTATCTTCACTTCAGACTTCACCTTGGAGGGAAAACTTGAGGTGGTCCAGTTTGGCAGGCCAAAGCCCTCCAGCTGTCCTGCTGAAGGTGCCATTACATCTCTCTTGGCCGAATAACTCCTACTTTGCTCGGTCTTACTGATTGTCTGGAGGCCAGGTGAAGACAGATGAATCTGAGGGTAAGACCAGATCCTGCGGTTGTAGTTGTTTTCTTTCTCCTTCTCCTCTTTCTTATTTTTTAATTAAGGTGCGCCCCAAAGAAAGCAGAATAGAGTAATGGATGTCTATGTTCCCAACATCCATTTGCAACATTTGGCTAACTGTATCCCATTTTTCTACCACACACACACACACACACAAAACTTTGTAGCAAATCCTAGGCATGTATGATTTTAATCTCAAACTAAAAAATGGTGAACTTTTTTACATGCCCGTATCTTATCTTACTTAAAAAGATTAATAATTCTTCATACCTTCAAATACCTATTCAGTGTTTACAGTGTCCACATTTTCAATTGTCTTATGACTGTCATTTTGTTTTTTCTTAGCATTTGTGTGTTTGAATCAGGATTCTAATAAGGTTTGTTCAAAGTGAATGGTTGCTATTTCTTATAATTCTCTTAATTTATTGGGTATCCTCCCATTTTTTTGTCCACCATTGAAGTAGAGTTTTCTTAAAGGAAGGCAAAGGTTTGCATTAAAAAGGTAGACAGAAAAATAATATCTAATAACTATGGGTGTAATAATAATTATTCGACACAACATACACTTTGTATCCATGCTGTATGAAGTACATTACACATATTAACTCATTTGATCATCATAACAACTCTGTGAGTTAGGAACTATTTCCCAATTTAGTAGGTGAGGAACTGGCTCACAGAGAAGTTTAGTAACTTGCCATAGGACACATAGCTTGTAAGTGAGTAAGCATTTCAGTCCAGCTCTTACTCACACACTGTTTTTTAACAGCTAACATTTATTCAACACTTTTCTAAGTGCTCATTAGTATCAGGCACTATTCTAAGTGCTTTTACTTTAACTAATTTAAACCTCACAGCATCTTTGTGAAGCCGATAGGATCATGGGACTCATGTTACCACGACACAGAGAGTTCAAGCAGCAGCACCCCCAGCCCTGTGAGTACACTGCTGACAATAATAGAGCTGGGATTAGAACTCGGGTGGTTTCCCACCACAAGCTGGGCTCTTAAACACTAAGGTACGTTGCTTTCCTTGTAAGTGGTATATTCTCAAAGAGCTAGAAAACTAAAGTTAGTACCTGGAGAACGTCTGAAGAGACCCCATAGGAAGTTTAATTTTAGAGCTTTTCCTTGGATTACAGGGACAGTTATCTTTAGAAAACACCTTAAAAACTTACCCTCTGCCAGTTGGGATGGACATGAGAAGGTTCAGTGGAAAATCAGCTCCCTGATGGACAACTCAGGAGTATGACCTATACCTCTGTCCCCAAGCCCTAAGGCAGAAGGTCCCTGGAGGGGGGTGGGGGAGGCTGAAGTCTGTGTCCCACCCTTTGTTGTTCTCTCGGTTCACCTTTGTCTCTTCCTTTGTAGACACTTCACTGTTCAGATCCTTGAGGGAAACTTTAAAAACCATGCCAACATTCTCAATATTATTCTCTTCTTATTTCCATTCTAAACATCAGTCCAAGACATTTAGAAATGATGTCACTCTTCAGCTACAAGACTGTATAAGGGTTAGCACTATTTCTCCAGCTCACCTCAGGACATCACACTGCATTTTCTTTCTTCCATCTTTTCTTTCCATTTTTCTGTGCATTTTGAGTACTTATATGGACCTCTGTGGGTAGGTAATGGCTTCATGCGTGTCCTTAGAAGCTCTACAAAGTCAAGCTTATTCCAGGCAAACCTCAGACATTGCTTTACCTGAGAGCAGAGTTGAGAGAGAGAGAGAGACCTGTCCGCTTTGGAGGGAGGTCTTTAGTTTGATCCTGGGGCCTGGTTTCCTTTTACTGATGCCAGAAACAATCTGGGGCCTCCTAGTGAAAAAAAAAATTATTAATGGCTGCTGGAAAGAATTAATACATATTTAATTGAGGTTGGGGTTATTAAAAATTAAGACTCTTGTACAAATATGAAATGAGTAAGTGCCAAGGATTTGATAGAACTCTTTCATTAATGAGAAAACCAGTAAGATGTTACAACCAGTTTAAAGGAAAAATCTGAAGAACAGACACTTAAAAAAAGACAATTGGGAATGAGAAAATGAAATTGCTAATAGCTACAAAACTTCATAGGCCAATAAAATGTAGAGGTTGGAATCTTCTTTTCTGCAAGGGAAAATCAAATGTATCTCTATAAGACAAATATCATTTGCATCTCTGTGGACAAGAATCATTGGCATTACTGTCAGTTTTCCATAATTTGCAGAGCTGTAAATTAGCCTAGTCAAAGGCAGTGAGAGGCACAGATCCTTATAAAACCAGATAAGTCCCTAAGGTCTTCTAGACAATGAATGCCTAGTTTTCTATTGAAAAGACACCTGGTCATCTTTTACCCATTTCAAAAATCTTTCACAGGTTTTCCTGACAGATTCATAAATAAAAACTTATTTATCAAGTACAGCAACCAGGTGAGGTAGTATCTTGAAAAGATTCCTTAAAATAGTAAAGATGTTCACAGAGGATCTCTGTTAGCCAGTTACCACTCTCTTGCCCTACCTCTCTTTTCCTGTAAATTGTCTCTCTCTTTCAAGCTGTCATCAAGGACGATTTGATACTGGAGTAATGAAGAAAACTTTAATATTGCATCCAACAAAATTTGACTTAAGAAAAGTGAGTCATTGTTTATCCTATCCCTGTTGGCAGGTGGTTTACTCTTGACACTTTCAAACCACCTATAGAAAGTTGCTACTTCACCCCCATCCCTCCACCCTGCTGCCTGCAATGTAGTCTCAAAATCAGTCAAACTAAGGGCAGTTTCTCAGCATATCATGTACTAATTTGTACTGACATTTGCTATATCCAGTTGTAAAATAAAAATATTGGCCAGTGGATGGTTTATCAGTCTAGAGAGCTCACTTTCTCTTCCTCCCTGTTTTAATGAGAGCCATATTGGTGTGTAACATGTAATCCCTCAAGTAAGTTTCCCATGTTAACCCTAGTATCTCTTCCCAGGCACCAGGCTCTAGACAGACACCAGTTGGGGCAATGTTCTATTCAGTTGGCTCAGAGCTTCAATTGTGCCAATCAATACCTGTTCCCTCCCACTAACCCAGATCTTCTCATACTAAGAGCCAGAAATTTTCAGGATCACCACATTAGAACCTCCAGGAATGTACTTGGCTCCGAGGCAAGGGATCATGACCAACAGCAGCCAGATATCAAAGTCCCTGCCCAGTAAGGATGATTATCCAAACAAAAATGAGTGCAAGAGAGTGAAACTTCAATAGCAGCATAGGAATAGCCTATTGGAAATAATTCTCAAGTGAAAGTACAGTGAGATACTATCCTCCTCACAAAACTATAAAATATTAAGGCAAAGTAAAATACCCAATGGCAATGAGGCTGGTGGGTGTGTATATTGGTAGAGACACTTGGGACATTAAATGGCTGCATGATCAAGAGCTGTAGAATGTCATGCCTCTGGATCCGCCAAGTCTTCTTCTGGTGATAATTCAAATATTGTGAAAAGTATCCACAAGAAGATGTATTCCAGTATTATTTATAATAGCAAGAAATTAAAAGCAACCTAAACTCAACAAAAAAGTTGTGTGTATATTGACTAAGATGTAGGTACTTAAATAATGGTTATGAAGAGCTTAAAAACACAAGAAAATTTGTGATAATGGGTTTTTTAAACAGCATTTACTCTGGAAAAATATCACACAGATAAAAGAGTAGAGAGATTGGCATGATGAACCCTCATGTACCCATCATCTTGCTGAACAACTATCAACACAGATCAAATTCATTTCATCTACCCCATTCACTGTCCTACCCAGTTTATTTGAAACCAATCTCAGACATTGCATCATTTCATATGAGAATATTTCAGTGTGTACCCCTAAGAGAAAAGAATTCCTTAAGAAAACCTGCTACCTAAAAAAACAATAATAATATACACATCAGAAAATAGAACATTAAAGAATATCAACAGTATTCCAAACAACCACAATTATTACATTTCTCTCATCAGTCTTTTGGTCCTGTATCATTAATTCTTGCTTTACTGAATCTTGGGTCAGCAATCTGGCTTCACAAAATTATCAGTTTCCAGACCAAAAAAATGAATCCTGAAAATCCTGACTCAGAACCCTGGTACAGTCTGAGAGTCATCCGAGGGCTGTCAGCACAGAAGCCGGTGTTTAGGAGTCTGTTCTTTGAAGTATCAATACTTACAAGCACCCAGTAGAGTCCTTTGCTCAAGGCTCTAAAACTATTTTGTTGAAGATCCTATCTCCGGCTTGTAACTTATAGCAGAGCCTCCAGGCAAACATGAGAGAAAAGCAGAAATGACCTCTAAGACTGAATGGCTGTGGTTAATTTATTACAGCGACCAGCAATATTAGAGTGGAGGAGAACAAAGTTGTCTGATGCATGCTTGTTTCATAATGGTTCGATCAATATTTGCCAGAGGATAAGAACATATTATGGACAGCAATGGAAGTGCCAAATCTTAAGGCCCTTCCTGCAAAGTGTACAGTCTCTGAAATATTTATATTAATAATATTTTACCTCTACAAACTTAACTAAGAGAAGGCTGCACCTCCCTTCTGATTGGATAACCCTTCCCGTTCTGCTCTTGCAGTAGTATTGAGCTTTTTTAACAATATTGAGCTACCCAACAAACCTGATTATTTCTAACATTTTTTATAAGATAAAAGAACTCATCTTTGTGATTTTCCAGAATTTCTTTGGAAATCTCCAAGATAGTTTTAGATGTAAAGATACTCTGAGAACTTCAGGTTTTTAAAATTTAGGGTCCAATCTGAAAAAGAAAAAGCAACAGATTTAACAGAAGAGATTTGGTCCATAAGTAAGATACGTCATAGGTGCTTGAGAAAAAAGTTTAGTTACCTATTCACTAAAGCAATAACAACATATTTTTAAATAGACATAGAAGTATGTAAAATGATTTTAAGAAATCTTGGCTCTTTCAGATATGAGGAAACTTTCTTCTTTGTTCTTAAAACATAATCACAGAAATGATAAAATCAACACAAAGTACAGAAAATTATTATGGTGAATATAAATCTCCGCTACCTGAATGGATTACACAGAAGGTCAAATCACTGCTCATTACCCCTTGTTAAGAGCTCTAAGACCATCTAATATTAATAGAGAGAAGGCCAAATTCTAGTTTTAATTAACTCAATATTTGTCAATAAAAGATCCCAAGTTCTTTTTAAAAAAATTATCTTTTGGAAAAGCCCATCAAACTGAGAGAACTTTTCCAAATTTTACCATATTCTATCGCTTCTCTTCAGACAATCATGACAAATAGGGTTTACGTTCAGTAAACCTACAATTTTCTGTATCCATTCAAGTTTTGTCTTTCCCTATCCTGTTTCATATTCTGAGCACACATGTTCTTTTAGAACAAAACTATCCGCTTTTTCTTTGAAAAAACAAAATATTCTTTTACTTTGATCATTGTTCTTCTCTTCATTATTGCTTGCACTACTGTCACCATAGCTCCTAATATAGTCTTAATCACCCATGTTAATTAATAACTTTTAAACAAACATAGGTCACACAGAAAACTGAGAGATGGGTAATTAATAATTGAGTGTTATATACAAGCAAAAATAAACATTATCATTAGCATGATCCAAGGTTTGCACTCTGTAGCATAGTACAATATGAAACACACATGTATATATATATTTAAAAACTTCAGTGATCAATGTTTTACCATTCTATCTTAGAAATAATCTTGGTTTCCCAAATTATCCATTAATCAACTTGATTTTAATGTTAGTTCAATACTTTAGAGCTAACTTAAGGATATCAGAAATTATACTTCAGCTAACATACTATTGAACATAAATGATTGTTGATATCAAAAAGATTACCAAAATTATAATTCAATTTGGTTAGGTACATAATTTTTACATTTTTTCATAATCCTTAACATTATTAAGTAGTAATGTTAATTTATTTAATCAAAAAACTAGTGTAGGAAGTTGAGGAAATTCAGAAAACAAATTTAGATCTTTTAAAAAATAAAGTGCACAATTATACCTAACTCTACTAAAATCAGAGGAAAAAGATACAGAATTTTTTCATTAAACCAATATAAGCAGTCTGATTTATCCAAAGATTCATCTTATGTGGATTTAGATTTTTAGGTGTTATTTTATATAGTATATGTATACATTTAGATAATCATATACTTCTGGTTAGCACTTTCTGAAAGAATTTTTGTTAAGTGACTAGAATATTTAGACTATTAGAAATTAATTTTTTTGGAATTCTGAAAATATTAGATTTATATGAGCAGGTTATAAGTATAAATAATTGACTTACTCTATGAGTCAAATTAAAAGAGAGTTTCTTTAAATTAGAAGACTTCATAATCAAATTTATTAATATCCTCCAGAGGTAAGAAAATGTTTTACACACACAAAGAGAGATAAAAGCTTTTCTCAACTATAGAGAACTGGCTGCCTTCAGCTCTATAACCTCAGCTACAGGTCATGAATGAACATAGAAACAAAAAACTCACCAGTCTATTTCTCAAAGAGCTGTTTTCCTTTTTAGTTGACACAAGATATTTTCTAAAATAATTTTAGCTCACAAATAGACAGAATAGACCCAAAAAAATGACTATCAAACTAGATTAGCTATCATCTCTCGCCTGATAGAAAAATAGTTCCCTCATTATCCACCTGGCAGAAATCATCAAATGGTCAGATCATAAAGCCAAATTCCCTATAATAATCAGCTGTTTGCATATTAGAATTATTTATACACAAGGTCATCTCTTAACCATGGAATCAAGACCTGCTCAGCAGTCCTGGGTCTGGCTGTACAATGGGGTACAGTCCAGACCTCGTTTCACAAGGATGCTTTCTAGACTATGCAGTTGAGACCAGTCTAGTGGTTAGAGGCAAGACATGAACTTAACCAGTGCCTGAACCCAGATGTGAAAAGAGGCACATTGGTTTAGATACACCAGCTCTTCCAAAACCATGGCCTAATGTGTGGCATTTGCCTATTTCTGTGGTGTGAATTTCCCATAAGGGCTGTTTTCAAGCTACCCACACAATGCCACAGTGCAGAACTGGGAGGAAATGCATGTATTTGGTTCTTGCATACCATTGTGATCTTCTCCAGGATACAAGTGTGCTTAACCATGAGTTAATCCAAACACAGACAGCCTTAATGGAGTTGGCCAACAAACAGAAACAAAAACAAAACCACAAAATCAGAAAAAAGAAAAAAAGCCTTTAGAAATGTCGAGTTAGTCATTTGGAATTCATTCTGGGAGACAGAAAGATATGCCTGGGTTTAATCAGACCATGAGATACACTTCTCAGGCCATGCAGCTTAATGGCACCAGCAGGTAAGTCCACTTGAGTATCTCAGTGGATCTCCCAAAACAGTCTCAGTACTCAGTACTACAGAAGACAGCTTGTAGTTGTCAATAGTTCTCATAGTCAGAAAGCTTTCCTTATACTCAGCCAAAAATCTATTTCCTATAACTTCTAACCAGAGGGTCATGCTCTTTGGATATGCACAAAACAAATCTTATTCTTCCTTTTTTATTCAATATTGAGTACAATTATCTTATGATTTTAGAGCTACCCCAGTTCATAGCACAGGTAAAGAAACAGAAACCCAGAAAGATTAATGACTTTCCTCAATTCATGCAGCACTGTAATTTATCATATTTGAGGGAATGAAAGATGAAACTTAAAAACTGTCACAACACATCTCTCTTGAGTCTTTGTTCCTTAGCTATATCAGTATTTCATCTAAAATATTTCAAAACATCTCATCTTAGCTGCCCTCTTCTTGTAGGTCTCTGTTTGGACAATGCCATGCTAAAAGTGAGGTACGCAGAATCAAATGCCATAGGTGTCAGCTGATTAGGGCAGTGTGTGTTCTGAGGTCTGGATTTATTAATATTTTATTAACCATCTGGACAACCACGTTACCTTTTAACTCATGTCTTTATCAAATATAATTTTCAAAGATAAAAACATGATTGTCATGAAAGACACAGAAAGAACACAGGTCAAAAATGTATTCAACTCATATAATTAATGAAGGCACCACTAAGATAATAAAGCTTGTTTATAAAACACTTGAAGAACTGAAACTTACATAGTCCATCAAGAAAGGCACATTGCAATAAGTTTTTTTTAAGTTAGAAAAAAATCTGGTTAATATCCTATAGAGCAATGAAGCATAACTTTTGAGATCATTTTCCCACCAAAGAGAAATCATTTGTATTTCTATCAGGTAAAAACCTACAAGTTAACATGTACCTTCAACAGTGTGTGGGCTCTAGTCAATAATAAATAAAACCAAACAAGACACACTCTCTTAGAAAGCTAAAAATTCCTAAAGTGGGCCTCTTGAACAATGTCTCAGTATGACACTGAAAGGACATGCAACCCTGTCTTTTGCTTTATCTTCAAGCATCACAGAATATTTGTTAACAAGACTGCTTTTCCAGTCTCTTAACAATATGTTAAAGTATAACAAAATATATTTACATTTATTTATGAAGTTATTTCTGTTTGTTATTTTGGTTTTTGTTCCCTCCCAATGCAGGATTCTTTTCTATAATGTCCGTGGTAAGTGACATTCAATGTTGAGAAATTTCCTACTTTGCAAAGTACCTCAATTCACTCTTAGAAACTAGTTCTTAGGTACTGGCAGAAACATACTCTCCTGTAATTTTTACTCACTGGAGATTCTGGATTAAGGGTTAGACAAACCAGTCATCCCCTAAGCAGTAATCAAAAAGGGGTGCTAAAATATACCCATACAAGGTTGTAAAATGGTGCTAGTTAACACACATTACTCCTCACATAACTGAGGTCATGTAAACTGGTCCTGCTACATGGAAGTAGTTAGTGATTTCAAGGAGCAGTTTTAAAAACATATTCTTCACCTATACTAAGCTATTTTTGTTGAGAATTCCTGGGAGGTACATTTTTAAGCAGCACAAAGCAACCAAGAGTTAGTCCCCCAAATTCAACACTTGCCTGCTAGAGTTGAAGACGTGGTCATCTGAAATTCAAAAACTGAATAATGTTATTGGTTTTACTAGGCATAGGCAGTTTATTTTATTAGCTAAATCACAAATCCTTTGTAAGGCCATAATTTTGAGCATGAAGAACTATATATTTTATTAGCAGAAAAAATGTTTTCCCACTCATGCCAGATAACATATTTAGCAAACACTCAAAGAATATAGGTTTGCATTATTGTCAAACTATGAGCCCACATGTCTCATTCTAGCTCTGCTGATTGGTTCCAGTTCTAACATCTGGAATCATGCAAAATCAGTTTAATCCAGTTTCCATATGTCTGACCTTCAAATACTTGAGAACAGTTATCCCATCCTACTGTCATCTTCTTTTGTCAGATTAAATAAGCACATGACCCTCAGTGGGAATGGCTTCAAGATTAGTCATTTTCATAATTACCTTCCTGCAAAGGCCTTCTGTTTGCCAGTGTACAAGTGTCACTCCAACTATCAAACATGATGTGACCGATGTCTGGTGTGACATTTATAAAAGTCACCTTGCTCAACCTGTTTTGCCAACTCTGTGTTAAATAATAAGGGAAGTTAAAAAAAAACATCCCACATACCTTTAATGGCATGAGTTAGTCACTTAGACTTCCTGGAGCAGTTTAGCATTCTCACCAAGCTTAGGGGCATCCAGTCTGGGTCTAGTCAAGAGATGGAAACCACACCAATTACTAGAAGAGAGAAGATTTAATATAAAGAACTGTTAGCAAGGTAGTAAATTGCTTATTTGGTGACTGAAAGGGTGAAGAGGAATATTAAAGCACCACAGCTTACTAACTGTAAGAAGCAGCTACTCTCCTGTGCTAGCCTAGCTTGTGTTAGATATTAACACAGGATTAAACCTGTAAGGATTTCATTAGGGGAAATTCTTGTGTGAAGGGAAACCTAAAGGGAGCTCGGAAAGCTGTCAGACTTAGATGTCTAAACTGGATGAAGCAGAGAGGGACCATAAAGTCTAGGGAAGTTTCTTCTAAACCACAGGAAAGTCAGTGAGCCAAACTTGCTGGTCTGAGGAATCCCAGGGTCCCAGGACCCTGCCTCAGTGCTCTGGCGTGCTCAGTCACTGTGGGGAGCAGGCGGCGACAGAGGCTTGGCCTCAGAGCAAACAGGGCAATGTACGTATTTCAAAGAGCAGTAGTTGGGGCCCTTGGTCAATTAAGCTTAGGTTTACAAAATGAAGTAGAAGACATCCAGTTAACTTAGAAGTTCAGATAAACAGTGAATAAAATTTTAGTATAACTATAACCCAAATATTTCATAGGATATACTTACAGTAAAAAGTTATTTGTTGTTCAAGTTTAACTGGCATCCATCCTGTACTTTTATCTGTGAAATCTAGCAACCCTAATTATGATCTCTGTAGCCAAAGGTCTGTGAGGGTCATTTTCACGGCTGCCTCACACTCTTAGGGCTATAACATGAAAGGTAAGAGGTTGGAGTTATTAAAACTTCAAGACTTAGGAGAAGGTGTTAAAGAAGCTAAGACTCAGACAGTTAAGGAAAAGGTCCCCATCGGGTGGTGCTAGAGAATGAAGCTGGTTCTATAGGTGTTGGAAAACTATGAAGTGGATTCAAGCGCTTCTCTGAGAAGAAACTGCTGCTTCCGCCCATATTTGGGATGAAGAAGTGTGGCTGGAGTGACGATCACAGGAGCCACAAGCAGACAGGAGGCCAACAGGAAGCAAAGAGAAAACCAGGAGGAAGAAGCAAATCACTCCCTCTTCTGTCCTTGCAGTCTCACTCAGCACCCCCTACTGACACAGCCTAACAGGGAGCTGCTGGCAAAACAGACGTGCAGAGAGTGCCAAAGTCTGCTCTGGGAACCGAAAGTGAAAACTTAATACCTGGCATAGATACAGAAGACTTCCAAAGATCACACCCAGTTAATGTAATGAGGAATGAGAAATGATTGGCTTTCAGCCCCCCATGATTTCAACATGATCCCAGACTTACAAATTTGATGGTTTAATGATAGTGGAGTTCAGAACATACTACCCCAAAATATGGCACCGTGGCTTATTGGATATTATAAGCTGAAGGAACTTGAAAAACAGTAGGTGTTGGAAGGCCTCTCTGACTTTCTCCCCTAAAGCAGGTCATTAAAACCTCACATGGGGAGGCGCCCTTCCCATACACAGAGGAACGGAGCACCCTTATCTCTGAAGATGGAGAGGTGCTGGGAGGAATCTGAATAAACAGGCTTTGCTTAGTGTCCCCCAGTTTACTACCCTTCCCTTATACTTTTATCCTATCAGATTTTTCTATGACTTTTCATTCCACATCAAACCTAGTATCAAAACGTTCAGCTGAACAGCTTCTTCAGGTCTTCATCTCCTTAGGTAGCTCCCATGTCATGTAAAACTTACATTAAATACATTTGTTTGCTTTTTTCTTATGAATCTGTCTTTTGTTAAAGGGCCCCATTCAAGAAGGAAAAAGATGTTGTTCCTCCCTACATTGTTTTACAGAGAGCTGCTGGTCACCAACTCCGTGGACCACTTCAGGTAGACTATGTAACACCAACCTGACTACATATGGGTTTGCCTTGGCCTTTGTATTCCCTTCTTGAAAAACCAAAAGAGTTAGGATCTCCAAGCCCTCATGAAGATTGACTGAGTGATAAGAAAGAATAGGCAGTTTTGTTATGCAGAAAATAACAGTAAATCTCAGAGATTCTAGTAAACTTCATCACCCAAGGAAAACAGGTACTACTCAACCCAGGTTGCCAGTAGGTTCTGATCCCTTAGGAAATGGAAGACCTTATGATGTATTATGCAACATTAAGGAAGAGGATATATCACACTTGTTGCCATACAATTTATAAAACATTCTCCCAGACACTGTCTTGCTTTGAGCCCAGTGTATGATCATGCATAGAGTGGGAGAGCGGATGACTGACCTTCACCCAGAATATGATGAAGAATCTTAAAAACTAAAGTTGAATGAAAAGATGGTATAGTCAGATCTGTGCCTTAGAAGAGAATCTTGCCAGAGGACAATGAGGAATTACCAGTAATTCACTCAAGAAGTAATGAGGCCCTAAACTGAGCTAGTACCTTGGAGCAAGCAGCAGTCCAAAGCTGAAGCATTTTCTCCAAGACAGAGAAGGATTTTAAAGGCGATAAATTGTGTGAAATATTTAATGAGTAATAGGAGAATTGTATCTAGCTTTCAGTTTTCTTAACCCTTTTTGGCATTCCTGCTCCATTCACATCCATGCATTCACATGCAAATAACACGTATCAACCTTTCAAATGTGAACAGATGGAAAGCAAAGTAGAGATTCAGAGCGTTCTGGTGGGATTTATGTGATCCACGAATGAGAATAAAATGTAAATAGTTGGGAATAAAGAATTCTCTGATTGTACAATAATTGTTATTTTCATTTCAAGGTTTTTAAGAATAGAACAGTATCCTCTGCTAATTGCTTCCTATATTAGTTATCTATTATTGCATAACAAATTTCCCTAAAATTTAGTAGCTTGAAACAACAATAAACATTTATTATCTCTGGCAGTTCCTGTGGTTCAGGAATTTTGGAGCAGTTTAGGTGGTGGCTTTGGCTGGGGGTCTCCCATGAGGCTGGAGTCAAGTTGCTAACTGAGGCAGCAGTCACCTGAACGCTTGATGGGGCTGGCGGATCCCCTTCCACAATGGCTCCACGTGTGACTTGAGTTGCAGGGAGGGCTCAGATCTTGCCCACATAAACCTCTTGCAGCCCTGTTTCCATGTTTTCATAATATGGTAGCTGGTTTCTCTCATCCCCACCAGAAGGTGACCAAGAGAATGAGAGCCGGGTGGAAGCAATCCTTTTTCATGACCTACATTTGGATACCATGTAGCATCTCTTCTACCACATTCTATTTGTCAGAAGCAGTTCACTAAGTCCAGCCCACATTCAAGTGGAGGAGAATTAGGTTCCACCCTTTGAAAGGACATGTGTTAAAGATTTTGTGAACATAGTTTAAAAACATCACACTTTAACTTAAAATAGGCTTTGGTATTTTGTGCTCCAAATAAAATTTCCAATTTACTGAGCAGATTCACAAAAGCAAGTGACCTGGGGATTGATACTGGTCAACACTCACTTGTCGGTTTGCTCTGACATGTGTTAACTCATCACAGATGAGAGAAGTATAACTTTGTAATCCAAAGAAGAAAAAAGCCTTGAAAGTCTGAGCTGCAGTAGTTTCATCACTGGGATTATTTTCCTTGAATTTCTACAGAAAGGACAATGTTTGAAATTCAAGTTTCCATATCAGAGAACGGGAAAAACCCTGATTAGTTTCTGGGAGCTATGTTATCTGGCTATATGTGAAGGAATTACAAGTTGCTACTTGCTAGAAAGGCTCACCCTACTTGAAAAACCAAAACATCATTATTAGCCAAAACAAGAAATATTTCCACATTTATGTCTTAGTCTATGTGGGCCACTACAACAAAAGATCATCAACTGACTGGCTTATAAACAATGAACATTTACCTCTCTTAGTCCTGGAGGCCAGCAAATCTAAGATTAAAGTGTCAGCAGGTTCTATGTCCGGAGACAGCTGTCTCTTTCCATAGCACCACATGGTGGAAGGGGTGACCCCAGAGAAGCCTGGGTGCCTTTTATAAGGGAATTAATCCCATTCATGAGGGTTGTGATTAGGAGACTGAATCGCCTCCCAAAGTCCCCACCTCCTAAGGCGGTGGCTGTGGGGCTTGGGATTTCAACATATGAATGTTGGGGAGGCATAAACATTCAGTTCACTGCAATTTATTGAAGTGGAAAAAAGAAAGAATGCTCAAGATTTTGGGAATGCTGTCTGGGCGAATAAGCAAAGAGCAGTGCCCTCATGGAGGCCGCAGCCAGACCCGGAGCCTTGACTTTGCTCTTTCTGCCGCGTTTGTAGCTATAAGACCTAAGAGATAAGTAACACTCGTCTTCTGCCTCTTGGTTTGATTCTTGACTTGTCAGAATTTCTTTGCACCTGAGCTGAAATCAGGTGTTAAATTTAGAGAACAAAGTGCAGGAAGTCAAGCGAGTGTAGATAAAGAGCAAAATAATACTCGGCCAATAGCAGAACTATTAACAAGGACCCCCTGAAACCAGTGTCACTTACTTTCTTTGAGAGTAAAGGAGAAACATAAAATCCAATGACTATTGTTCTCTAAAGAGAAAGGAAACTGTGTACTATGATTAAGGGGGAGAGGGTGGCTCAGGAATTTGGTGTCTGGGAACTTAAAAGGAAGAATGAACTGAATTTAGAAAGATTGAAAGGCAATCAAGATCATCCAGCATTGGCAGAAACTGAATGTCTACTTGTAAATCATGACTCTTGATGGCAATGGCACTGTGGTGTTCGGTGCACACTTGTAGGAGAAGGGCAAGCAACAGAAAACTGATTGCTAAGAATTTAAGAGCTTATGAGTGTTAGGGGATCCCAGAAGCATCTTCTCCCACTGGGCCTCTATACCTGAGTTTATTCTAGAAGAATAAAGATAGTATAGATCCAAGTCAAATCAATCTTCCACCTCCACAAACCAGACTGATTTATAACTTTGCACCATCTGTTGATGTTGGTGGTGTGATTCTCTCCTTTACTAATTAACAGCTCATAAAGGGTTTTATATACATCAGAGGCAAACAATAACTTCAGGAACCTAGTCATGAATTTTTGGCAGTTTCCACTATGAAGAAATTGAAGTTTTTATTTGATATAAACTAATATCCTTTGTCCCCAAGCCCTTGGGGAGCTGCCCTCTCACTTTCAAGAACATCAGTTCTCTCCCTTTTTCATCACATTCCTGCCCCTAGTACCATATTTCTATTGGAGACAAAGAAAAAGCTTAAATTCTGAGCTTCTGAGCAAAACTTTTAGGAAACCTATTTTTCCTCTGCTGACTTCAGGTAAGTTAGCCTTTCCTTTCTTAGGTCCCTTCACACTGGAAGGGAAGTTTGACAGTATTTTAAAGGAGTGAGAAATCCAGTGTGGAAAAAGAGAAAAATTTAAAACAATAAGAAGAAATGTTAGCTTTCAGAATAACGGTTGTGTAGTGTGATGCAATAACGACGAAAAATCAAACATTTTGCCTTATACTCCTAGATTCACTGATGAATCATATAAGACCTTGGAACAGTCACTTAATTTTCTGGGTCTTAGTTTCCTTATCTCTCAAATGAGAAACTTGAACCAAGTACTCTAAGATATATTATAATTCTAAAATGACATGATTGTGTATCAACATGCCTCATAATTCACTGACCATATTTATCCCCATCCTTAAGGCCAAACAAATTATGTTCTATGCTGGGCATGAACCCTTCTAAAACCAGGGTGAAAACTGTTCTGAAAGGTGCTTGAGGTAATCAGGCAGCTGGGAGCAACTGGATTACGCTTGGTTTTCTAGCTTCATAACACCACCACTCTTCCCCTCCTAGACCTACCACTTCTTTCTATTTCTACTTCCCTCCATGCTTCCCCACCTGATTCCTAATCATTCTCTAGGGCTTGAAGTCACAGACAGAATAGCCAGTTTTTTCAGTTGTCCTGGCAAGTGTTACCTATGGGCTCTGCCTTTTGGATAGTGTGGTAGAAAAATACCTTATATTTTAAAATAAGCATCATCTGGTAGGAGAGGTGGAGATTGTTTTTGGACTTATTTAGTTGGTCCCTT